GAGAATGGGGGGTGCAAGAAAAACCAACAGTTCGGGAGTTTCCAATGCTTGTTCCAAACTCAATATCCACAGAACTCTGAATACGACCAATACCCACGCTTTGTTGGACAATATCTACATTTTGATTTTTCAAACCTCATTTTTGTTTGGTAAAAATCCAGCATTTTGAAATGCGCGTCCCATTTCATAAGAAACATTGGTATATCATATATTCTCCAAAATGAACACATCCGGCCTGGAGTTGGATGTGGGTCATCAACTTTTTCGTTGGAGAGTTGGATCGATCCCAATTTTCCTACGTGATTTTCCAGATGTTCAAGGTGAACACCATAGAATGGGAGAACATCAAAATCAACACATGAAGAAAATTGGTGAGTTACAAACAGGCTAGAAATGGTCCATTCTCTTTGCTTCAAATATGCTGACTCCTCACAACTGTCAGGTGGTATCCCAGTAACCCCCCATTAAATCCCATGCAAATCCATTGTTCATTGGACACATCTTTATTTTTGATGCTTGAACATCTATGGATTTGATGGTAAAATCACAAGTTTTCATGGTGACATCCCTGTTTGAGTTGGCTTCAAACATGCGGGGTTCCATCCATGGCTTCTACCTCCATGTTTGATCCCCATCCTTACTGGGAATACCCATGATTTTCAAGTGTTAAATCCACGTTTTGGGCGCTCACATGTCCTTCCAAGACATGTTAAATCCCATTTTATCAACGTTATAGTTGGTTAGATCCCCTTGCTTGGTTGGTTGGTTGGTTGGTTGGTTATATCCCTATTTTTGTTGGTTAAATCATTGTTTGTTTGCTTCAAATAACATCCATCTACATCACTCAAACCTAGTTTGTTAAGATCCATTCTTCATTTTCCATTGAATAATTCCCGAATTTTGATTGAAATCCACATTCTTAATGGTTATAAGTTACAACCATGATTTTCAAGCGTTAACTCCCAATTTTTGGTGCTTAAATACCTTTGTTGCTGGAGAATTCCAATCTAAAAACCCATTGTATCCTCAAAAAGTTGCTAAACAAATCCCGTTGATGGGTGGAATCCCTCGATTTTTCATGGTTTCCCAAAAAAATGTCAGGCTACATCGGCTTGGAAAACTTCTGCTCCATCGTGGAGAGCCTCGCGCCCTGGACGGAGAAGACCCCCGTGGAGAAGCGCGCCACAAGGGCCGACTACGAAGACGCCTTGGCGGAGGCGGTGATTTTCCAAGGGGATTCCCAGGGAGGATGGGACCTGGGACAAAAAAATGGCTCATGACCTGGGAACAAATAACATTTTTTGCGTGGTAAATGCCATTTTTAAGCAGGAAAATTATGTGGATTGAATAGGATTTCATAGGAAAAACCATAGAATTTGATGGGATCTACTGGGATCTAGCCACCAAAAATGGTGGTTTAACAATGCACAACTTGGATTTAAAGATGGGGGTTTGCACACATCAAAAAAGGGTTTCACCATGAGGTATGGTGGCGTATTGTTTAAACATCCTGAAATGGGGACATATTGGGCCAATGATTCATTCTAGTTGATATCTGTTTTTCATTATTCATTCTTGAAATTTAGATAAACACCTATGTTTGATGGCATGAATGATTTTCAAGATGATTTAAGCATCAAAAACCCATGATACTGGATATGGGTTTGTCCAAAGAAAGTGGAGGATTGGCTCCCAATGTTTAAACCTGAGCGTAGGTGGTAAAGAACCATTCTTGACAAGGATTGGTTCATCCACTTAAATGTGAGCTATACCTAGTTGTACAGTGTATACAGAGGTGACTATCCACAGAGGATTCCTAGGCTGCACATCCAAGTCAGATCAGGTCAGCTGCCCAAAAAAAGGAGCCAAGTGTTTTTTCAGATTCTAATCTTTCGTTTGCGCAAATATTGTCACTGCACATAGATCTGTGTTCAATGGTATTCAGCTAAAGTTTTAAAAGTCAATTTTCAGGGTTTGAGTCTGTATGAAGGAATGAATAAGCGCAGATATTTTAACACAAAGACTGGTGGATATAGAATCAGGAACCAGCCATATATGTTGTTGTTGCTACACTTGGTTTCGGCCCCAATAATGCATCAACATGGAGTTACAAAAATATTTTTTTTGGTCCCGGAACTTGATCAAACATGTGTTCCGAAGTCCACAAGGAATAGACAAGGAAGATAATTCTTGGTTGATGTTGAGGGATGTATGTTCTTGAAATACTGGATAGTGATTTCAAGTGATTTCAATAAAAGTGGCACCTGCTTCTGACGTTCGGATCCGTTGGGTACTTCGCCGTGCCTTGCTTTCACCCCATGTGAAAACCATTGCAGTCGGTTAAACCAGCCTTGCATTCTCGTTGGAGATCATATCGAGCTGGAAAGCCCTGGAATAAGCGATAGCCGGTGATAGCCATGGATACAAGGGAAAAGTGTTCACATAATCCTTTGTTGAATCAACACTTAACAATCACAACATACCATAAATGAACATCTATTGATAGCTGTTGCTATAGTAATTGACCACAATATCACAATATGCTTGGCGCAATTGCAGGTGGACCCTGGCTGTGTTGGGAGTATCAACTTTCATCAACTCTGTGCTGGCTTTGCGGTGCTTACCAAAGCTCGTGACACGGTCGCCAGTGTCGCCGGTGTGGAAATCCAGGGTGCCAGGACATATTGACCCAACAAATCAGGGCACCTGCCCAAAGGGGGAGTTCATCACACTGTTGGTTGTATTTCCGGGACTGTTTGTTGCGTTTCTGTTGATGATTCTTTTCCATTATGGTTGTATCCAAGAGATGGTCATCCTTTGCAATATTAGTTAACATCACTTATTTTGTTGGTCAGATGCTGTGTTTAATCAAGGTAGAATTCGGCAACTCAAACACATACTCTATGGCTAGACAGAACCAGTCGGACACTCACTCCTTCAGCCAAGGCAAGTTGATCAACTACCGAGAGCCACTGGGCAGATGAGCAGCCCTGCGAACACAAACGTTTAGCCATGGACAATGGACCATGACAATGACCATGACCATGAACATGATCATGATCATCGTCATCGTCACCATCGTCACCATCGTCACCATCATCACCATCATCACCATCATAACCATCAAAAACCATCATCACCATCATCACCATCATCACCATCACTACCATCACCACCATCACCACCATCACCACCATCACCACCATCACCACCATCACCACCATCACCACCATCACCACCATCACCACCATCACCACCATCACCACCATCACCACCATCACATCACCATCACCACCATCACCACCATCACCACCATCACCACCATCACATCACCACCACCACCATCACCATCACCATCACCATCACCATCACCATCACCATCACCATCACCATCATCATCATCATCATCATATCCTCACCCTCATCGTCATCGTCATCGTCGTCGTCCTCCTCCTCATCCTCCTCCTCCTCATCATCATCATCATCATCACCATGGTCATCGTCATCGTCATCGTCATCGTCATCGTCACCATCATCATCATCATCATCATCATCCTCCTTATCGTCGTCGTCATCGTCAGCGTCATCGCCATCGTCATCGTCATCGCCATCACCATCACCATCACCATCGCCATCGCCATCACCATCACCATCGCCATCACCATCATCACCATCACCATCACCATCACCATCACCATCACCATCATCATCATCATCATCATCATCATCATGTCGTCGTCGTCGTCGTCGTCGTCGTCATCGTCATCGTCATCGTCATCGCCATCGTCATCGTCATCGCCATCGCCATCACCATCGCCATCACCATCGCCATCACCATCATCACCATCATCACCATCATCATCACCATCATCATCATCATCATCATCATCCTCATCCTTATCCTTATCCTTGTCGTCGTCGTCGTCATCTTCATCGTCATCGCCATCGCCATCGTCATCGCCATCACCATCACCATCACCATCACCATCGCCATCACCAGCATCACCATCATCACCATCATCATCATCATCATCACCAGCATCACAATGATACTAAGCATCATCATGACCATAAGCCCTACTCTGCATCTTGGGTGCTGCCCAGGATCTGAGTTTATGTTTCCCATTTTGCGACGTAGACAGATTGACATAAAGCCAAGGAGAACACATTTGAGACCCAGCCCCATGGTGTCGTAAACACCAAAAACACGCCCAACTTGTAGAATGGACCTAGGGGACTGGAAGTAACAAAGCTTCCCACTCAGCATTGTAAATATATTGACATGGAAGCACAACTGAACCATGTGAGACCCAGGCCCAATGGTGCATACGAAACATCCAGCCAAATCTTGGAATGGACCCGGGGGTCTGAAATAAAGTTTCCCACCTTGTGATGTGAACATACCAACATTAATTCAAGGAGAAACCATATGACACGCATGGTGCTGCACACAGCTTGCTCAGCAAACATCCTTCCCATCCACCCGACTCTTCGAACGGACCCGGGCCCGTAATGCAAACAGAGTAACATGAAGCACACAACCTGCATCCTCGAAAACGCACGAGTAAATGCTCATTTGAGAGATTCATGCTTTTTGAGCGGTTTTTCTCCAAATGAGCTTCATTCCATCTTGGTTTGCCTGGTCGGCCTCTTCGTTTTTCATCTCATCATCGTCCATGATGATACTGGTTGAACGAAAAGGGCTGTTAGAGATTCTCCAGAGTCAAAATTCACAGTCTGACCAGCCAGCGTCTTAGATCATGTGACCCAACGGTGAGCTGATAATTCCGATTTCATATTGGGGAAACCATTTATCATTGTGCGCATAAGTTTATTTTTTTGGCCAAAGTAATGCAGAATATATATATATATATTATATTTATAATACATATATCATATCACATAATTATATATATATATGGATTTATTCTATATGAATAAATGTAGAAAGAAACGGGCCAGGGTCTGAGATGAGACCCAAGCTGGGGAGCTGAAAGTATGGATATCACATTGAAGAAACACTAAATTTTGCAACAAAAATGATGGGTCGAAACAAGCGAGCCAGATCACATGGGTCAGCGGAGCTGAAAATGTGGAATTTGACATTGATAGATTTTCAGATCCATCAAGACATTTGCAAAAACATGTGCAAAGCACGTTGATGCACAGTCTGTGCCGACTGTCACGGGAAATTGTTGCTGTTGAACGTGTGCAGGGTCTGAAATGTTTGTGACCGCCATAGGTCTAATTTTTTTCTGCTCACTGATGTTTATTTGTATTGATTTTATGGTTTCGAGCAGAAAAACGTTCCAGACCTTTCATCTCAGAGCCTGCCGTTACAAGTCCCAGGGTCTACTTTCCCCTTCAAATCACAGGTGGGTCTGGGAGTCCCTGCTCTGTGAGGGTTTCTTTGTTACCGGTGTGTCGCCAAAACTGTGATGACAGCATATAACTGAGTAACTGGGTCAGGCCCTACAAGTCACTCGGTTATTTCATATGGTCATTGGCAGCCTACTGGGCCACATCCAGTTGTTCGTGCTTGAAAGCTGAGGTATTTGCAGCAAGATGAAGTGGTGGAGTACCGACGCATCTTCAAACACACCACGGAGAGGAAGGGCCAGAGCCACTCGATGCATTTCGTGCTCCGGGACGATTTGACCTACCAGTTATGGCCTTTTTCGGAAAAATGATGACCATTGGATGTGGGGGCACCCGATTTTCAGACAAACCCAGCGGTTAGCGTTGATTAAAATCATCACTTGACTTGTACCTACACTTAGGACATTCTTAGGACCGAAAAAACTCCATGTCATTTGGGTTTTCCTTTCCCGGACTTTTTTTCGGAGTCAAAAAAGGTGAGGAAGTGCGGAGCATAGCGGGGCCACAAACGAACTAGGGTCACGGTTTTTCGGTCACTACAGTACACGCACCAGGTATTGCCTTCAGCCAGGTCACCGTGGTGAAATTTGTTGGAACCACCATGAATTTGGTGTCGGGCCATTCCCAGAAAGTGATTTGATAGTAACAACAATAACAAGAAGAATCACAAGAGTTACACTGGCAACATTGAAAGAAATCAATACTGATACTGTAATGACAATGATAATGACAATAACAACAACTAATGACAACCATATTGATAATAGTGATATGATATGCTATTCTAATAGGACACCCCATGTTAGTAATTCGTTCTGGTTTGTCTGAAAATAGGGTACCATCAAGTTCAATGGGTTCCCCACAACTTAATGGCCACAACTGAGGCTATTCTTATTGTAAGACAGACCCCACAAAAAACATACCGTTGAAAAGTATATTGCTGGTTAGTTAGATATCCCAGTATTTTCAATAAAACATCATATCATGGTTGGTTAACACTTATTTATTGCATGCGGTCAATCCCTATGTTTGATGCTTAGATCACCACAATTCAGGCTGGTTCACCATGCTGAAAAAAAGCATTATGATTCCAATGTTTTCCTATTATACACCTTATTTTCCCAGTGTTTTCCCAGTTTTTTCTCATTACCTTCCCATTATTCTTCCCATTACAGTATTTTTCTAAGATTTTTTCAATGTTCCAATGATTTTTCCTTTTTCCCCGTTCCATGGCCATACTTTGCACCAAAATTTGCACCTTGCCACAGCACGAAACCACGTTACGATCCAAAATGGTCACCGCACCACACGCACACTCAATCATGATGTCCTCCTTATGTAAAGAAAAACCATATCCTATATTTCTAATTTTTTGACGCGCGAAGCACGTTACGATTGCAGGTTTCGCCACAGCCGCGCACCACTTTTTGATCATAACGTGCTCCAAGTGCAGCGCCTGCCACGCGAAATGACCCTTAGCTGCTGAAATGCCTGGTCACCCGAAAATCATAACATGCTCTAAGTGCAGCGCCTGCCACGCGAAATGACCCTTAGCTGCTGAAATGCCTGGTCACCCGAAAATCATAACGTGCTCCAAGTGCAACGCCTGCCACGCGAAATGACCCTTAGCTGCTGAAATGCCTGGTCACACGAAAGTCGTAACGTGCTCTAAGTGCAGCGCCTGCCACGCGAAATGACCCTTAGCTGCTGAAAAGCCTGGTCACCCGAAAATCACAACGTGCTCCAAGTGCAGCGCCTGCCACGCGAAATGACCCTTAGCTGCTGAAATGCCTGGTCACCCGAAAATCATAACGTGCTCACGCGAAATGACCCTTAGCTGCTGAAATGCCTGATCACCTGAAAATCATAACGTGCTCTAAGTGCAGCGCCTGCCACGCGAAATGACCCTTAGCTGCTGAAATGCCTGGTCACCCGAAAATCATAACGTGCTCCAAGTGCTGCGCCTGCCACGCGAAATGACCCTTAGCTGCTGAAATGCCTGGTCACACGAAAATCATAACGTGCTCCAAGTGCTGCGCCTGCCACGCGAAATGACCCTTAGCTGCTGAAATGCCTGGTCACCCGAAAATCATAACGTGCTCTAAGTGCAGCGCCTGCCACGCGAAATGACCCTTAGCTGCTGAAATGCCTGGTCACACGAAAATCATAACGTGCTCCAAGTGCTGCACCTACCTTGGGGTACCCTCCCATGGTCTAACATCGTATCGTTTCCGCCGGACCCGTGAGTCTCCGCGAATTGCCACGAATCGCCTCTTCGCCAAGGCGGCCTCAGCAAGTCGGATTTGGACAAAATCCTGCGGCGCATGGGGGCCAAACTCTCCAAATTGCAACTGAAGGTAGGATTCAGTGGTATAACGGGTTAATGATGGGATATTGGTGGGATAATAGTGGGAGAATGATGGGATAATGGTGGTGATTCATAGTGGGACAATAGTGGGATCATAGTGGGATCATGTGGGCCATCATTCCCTAATGGTGTCATAGTGGGATGAGTGGGCCATCATTCCCTAATGGTGTCATAGTGGGATGATCATAGTACTGGTACAACTTATATATCGATAGTGAATGGGATCTAATGGGTTGCAATAGCCAAGCACGCTCTGAGTGGCTGCTTTTATATGTTTTGAAGGGGTATCTAAGGTTTCCAGAAACTCCCCCAAAACCCGTGTGCTATTCTGCTGGGAAGGGGCACATGGTGTCTTTACTCTTGCTGAATCCATTTTGAAGTTCGGGTTTTCTGCTCACCAGTCCAGAACATGTGGTGAATTCTCATCCTTGGACAACTACTGTAGGGCTTAAGGCAGCGTGCATCTTAAAAGTTTAACCTGTCATGGATTACCAGTCCAGCGTCACAGGAAGCACTCGACTCCAAGATAGCAGGCACAGGTCACTACTAGATTCCCGAAGTGCCCTATTAGCAAGTGAGAAGCCACTGAACAGCCAGTTTCCGAGGTAGGGTCCCAAACGGGACTCGAGACAGGGGTTCCCAATAACCATCTGAAATACAAGGTTCCCCAGGCGGGGAGAGGGTGCCGACATTGGCACTTGATCCAATGCGCGAACTCGGGGCCCCTTCCAAGGCCTCGTCAGCCGCAGACAACAGTTCTGGTCCTCCTTGATCCCGACATAACCATAAAACACCAGGGTCTCAAAAGCAGGGCTATGAGTGTTCCCAAGAAGAAGGTTTCCATGCTCAGTGGCCATGGAATGTCTTGACCGGTGGTAAGTGGATTATAGCCCATTAAATATACCCAATGATAAGGGGATATAAGCCGAATACCAACCAGGTACAGTAACTAACTCCCTGACTCCCCTAGGCACGGTTAATCATCGTTAATCAAACATGTAAGTGGAAATCTCATATCAATGTGGGGGTTTCGGTGGGAAAGCTTGATTAGAGATGATGTTTCCAACAACCATTCACAGATGATGTTCAAGCAGAAAATAGCAACCCGAAAACCAATGAAATTCCCATGATTTTCCCAATGATATCCCCATTTTTGTTGGCTAAATAATATATATATATATACACATAATATATATATATATACAGTAGATATCCTCCCATTTTCCAGCTTCAGAAGTTCTGAATGCCAGGAGTTCTTTGAATACTTCGATACAGACGGATCTGGTCTGATGGATCTGGATGAGTTCTGTGTGATGATCGTGAGGCCCTTTGCTGCTCTGGGGCGACTCTGGTGACTTCGTTAAACCCCGAAAGATATGAAGATAGAAATAGTGGATTTTCCCATTAAAAATGGTGATTTTCCATAGCTATGTTAGTTTACTGTTTATAAGTTGGTTTATAAGCCCCAGTAACTATAGTTATAAGTATCATAAACCATAGTTATTGGAGTTATTTGAACCAACTTAGCTATCTATTGATCAACTACTTGGTGGCGAACTACCCACGGCTCGTAAGTGGGTTAGTTCACCCCAGTGATTGAAGTGGATTAACCCTACAAAATCCCATTTATAACTGGGGTTATAACCCACTTACTAAGTGGGATGAGCCACCAAGTACACATTGGTTTTGGTCAAAATGGATATTGTTGAAAGATATGAACTATGGTAGTAGCACCAAAACTATGTTTCAGTGTGATCTTGCTTTTCCTTTTTTTTTGGTGCTACTACCATAGTTCAACATGTTTTTTTTCTTCTTTTTTTCAGTCGCGAAACATGTCTATTTCATGGAAGATATCTGATATCTCAAGTCACCACGTATTTTATAACCTTCGGGGATTTTCCCACCAAATGACGGTGGATCAAACATGAGGCGCGGCCAAGAAGATGCTGCATCAGCAGCAAGCGGTTAACAATCCCCATTCTCAAGAGGCAAACCATCGACATGTGGATGGCTTCATAATTACCATGAATTACCAAATACACCATTGAATTTAAGATGGAGTCTGACAAAGGGGGTTTACGTTAATGACTTACTGGATATGGCCCTTGTTCAGTTCTATGTTCTAGTTTGATTTTAGGGAGTGTAACCTCAAAAAACTGGTGTAGATTCCGCGGGCCCCATCACATCGTCCATCCTGTCCAGAGCACCTCCCTGCCGTGATCGCTAGTCGTCACCATGAGTTTCAATACGAAGTCATGGTCATCCATGACGACTGGATGAGAACTTTGGGGGTACCGGGGGTACCGCCATGACTTTGGAAACCTCCAAATCTTCGACCAAATCTGTGTTCTTGTGAGGTTTGCAGTGCAAGGTGGTGCTTTCAAGTAAACCCATCGACTGCAGATGATCCTGACCCACTTGCGAAACCCAGATCTTTGGGAAGCGTCATCACCAGTCTTTTTCTTGGCGAAACCCTGATTTGGGTTTGTCGTGCAATGGGGAGAATTTTCCCAGGTGATGGCCACGAAAAAACATAGGGAAAATGATGATAGCTAGCTTGGATCCATTAGGGAAAATGATATGATGGCAATGTTAAACCATCACCTTTTTTGGGTTTCAAAGTGTCGCACAACCATCCACTAGCACCTGAGTTTGTCTGAAAATAGGGGTGCCCAAAAACCCAATGGCGAGTGTGGCCACAGATTGGGGTATTCTCATCATTTTCAGACCCAGATTAAGTAGTCATTGGATGAATCCCAATTTTTCCTGGTTCAGTCTGTTCCTATTTGGTGGTTTCCAATCCATGGGGGTACCGCCAAGTCATTCATTTATAAATACCCCCATGGCTATGGAAACCTCCATGTTGGTTATGGTAAAACCTGGAGGTTTCCATTTCCCATGAATTTCCCACCAAAAATAGCCGTGGGGTACCCTCCATTTTGGGCTTTGGAAATGCTGGGAGAATGGAGAACCTCTGCACAAAAAAATGGCCGCAGGGTGAGAGCTTTGACCAAGTTTAGGGAGATTTCGCCCGAGACGTGCAGCGCGCGCGAGCTTTGGAAGAACGAACAGTTCACCGTGCAGGTTGGCGGGTTGGCCGAAGAGTCTATATGGGAAAATCATTGGGAATTCATGGGGCATCTACTATAAATGGAGGTTGGTATGGGAAATTCAGCTATACATGTGAATTAATCTACCAGTTTGGGAATTTATTTGGCTCCTCAAAAACTACCCCAATTTATTGCCATCGAGGAAAATGGATGATAAACCAACAAATTTGATACCATGGGATGTCCTAGCGGCTGTTGGAGTTCGGTGCTGCAAGTGCATCATGCTTCCACCCTGTCATCATGCAAGCGTTGGTATTGATGGTTCGCAACAGCTGAAAGTCGTCGCAATTTTTCGGGACGACACATTGCCGTTTTGTTGGCGTATGTACATTCAACAACTCGCCTTTTAGACTATATATTTTTTTCAATGTTTTATGTTGTCAAGAATTCCAAGGGTGCGTTTTTAATCTAGGTATCAGCAGGACGTTCAATGCAAGTTCACTCGCCCAACCAGAGCCTGTTTGCATCATCAACTGCCCATCATGTCATCCACTGCTGTCATTTTCCCTCCTCACATCAATTGCACAATTGCAAATCTGATCGAGTTATGCGATTGATCGACGTATTGCCCATGAAAGGGATGCCAACATGAGTTTACTCTCCGCACCATATGATTGCAGTCCATAGTCCTAAGGAGTTGGAGAAGCCTAGCCTACATTATACACCATATATATAATATATAGATACATTATAATTGTATATATTTATACACAGTCCCATTTGTATTTATATTAACGCACACAGACATAAATCTATAACTATCACACACGTATATATATATATAATATCATGTATGTGTAAAGATGTCATACATCTTCAATGGAAGACGTACATCCAGGGAATCGTAGGTGGTGAATACAACCCATATGTAACACTGTGGTAATTTATTTCAAATGATCATTAGCCCACCTCGTACTTGGGTGTGCAGTCCAGTAAGTTAGTTGGATATATTGTAATATATATATACACTTATATACATACATAATATATATATATATAATGTTTCACCAACCAGTTCTTGGGGTTCTATATCCCAAGCGTTTTTTTTTTGGGTATTAGCTAATCGTTATTTTTGTGTTTTTTTTGTTCCCAACTCATTGGGGGAATTTCAGGAACCTAAATTGGAGGTACCGATTCCATATATAAGGCCTATTTTTAAGGCCTATGTAAGGGGATATACCCGTAAAATATGGCCAAACATACGGTACTAACGTACCTCCATTTTAGGATCCTGGAATTCCCATTGATGGTTGTACTCATGAAATATCCCATTATCATCATGTTTGTTTTTGTGGTTAAAACAATGCCATTTTTACCGCCCATGACTGGGAATGGTAAGTTACCACCTATAAAAATGGTGATGACACCCATGACTGGGAATGGTAACCATACCACCTATAAAAATGGTGATTTTCCTGGGGGATGGTGGGTTTATGGCATTGTTGTATCCACATTATACCCTAACTGTGTTATCATAGTTATCTCCATGAACTTCACCCAAGATACAGCGCGATTCAGAATCCAGATACCGCAAGCTCTAGGAGCTGCAACAATCTGGTTTCAGGCTGCAGGAATCCGGCGGTCGTCGCGTGCAGTTTTTTGAGGTTTTTCGTTGGGTTTTTTCAATGAAGATCCCAGGATTTAAACCTGGATTTTTTTTTTCTGGATTTGTTCCATGATTTTCCATGTACACGCAACATCATCCTAGATTTCCCCGAAATGAAATATTCATCATGATCTAGAGGGTAATGGAAATAATTTCTGGTGGATTTTCCATTTCCCTCTGGTAATTTATCAGTTGGCCATGGCAAACGGCCATGAAAGTAGATGATTTATATAGCCAGTTTCTAATGGTGATTTTCAATTGCAGCAGATTGCTAGACAGTAACTCATCAGTTTTGGAAAACCACATTATCAAACAATTTCACGGTATCTCCAGTCTTATCAGTTTATTTGGGATTTGTTACTAGCAACAATGAAGTACACCACCCAACCTTGATATGAGAATAAGATGCGGGATACATCATCAACCAATGGTTTAGAACATAGAGTTTGCCAAAATCTCATGATCAATGTTGAGAATAACATGTTTCCCCACGTTGTAGTGGCCATAAATCAAGGATAGATCCTTCATTTCTGGGCAGCCTCCGATATCTGGGCCATGTATTGGAGAACTTTTCCAGGGACCCGTATTGGAAGTTTCCGTTCTGAAGAGCAGGTGGTATGTTGTTTCTTACACCCCATCAACTATAGTTGCACTATACTATGTTATATTATATTATATCCCCCTAATCAACCCAACAGTTAACCGAGTGATGTTCACCAACTTCGTTATCTAAGTACCATGAAATCCCATTGAATCCCATTAAATCACCATTTTCTGCAGGGAAAATACCTATCGTAAACGGGGGCCCTTTTGGGCAGATCGCTTTGCCAGGACTTGAAAGATGCGGGTGTACCCATCTCGTTGCTGTACCAGGAGGCGCAGTCCGGACTTGAAACTAAAGGACATGGGGATTTACCCTCTGGTTATGTCAAAATAGCTATTGAAAATGGCCATTTATAGTGGATTTTCCCATTAAAAATGGTGATTTTCCATTGCTATGTTAGTTTACCAGAGGGTAATGTGAAATTGTTGTTGGAATCATTTAATTATCACACATGCTTTAACAGTGGATTTATGAATAATTGTTTTGTTCTAGGATTATAGGATTAATATCTATTTTTAAGAAATATGATTTAACAAATCAATGGATATGGATTTATGAGCAAAAGCGGGATTTGAGTCCAATTCGTGGCCAAGAAAAAAACGCGGAAAATCACGTCAAATGCCCATTGCGGCTGGTTGAATCATCCAATTATTGGACAAATCCATCTCATGCTGTTGCTAATCTATCGAATTATATATATACATACATATAATATATACGTGTATATATAATATACATAATACATATACATATATATATACATACATAATTATACATGTACATAATTATATTATAAATACATACCATTACATGGACATTTTCCATGGTGGTCATGTTTGGAAGAAAAAATCCTCCGCAGGGCGATTACTCTGCCTTGGAGCTGCGAAAAGCGGGCTTCGGCGCCAAGGAGTTGAAACAAGGTCTGGGAAAGGTGAATTTTTCTAGGGGAAAATGATGCAAGGTGGTGCCCCCTAGATAGCTAAGTTGGTTTATAACTCCAATAACTATGGTTTTTGTTGGTGATATATCTATAGTTAATGGGATTATAAACCAACTTATAACTGGGGGGCACCACCTTGTGGAAAATGTGGATTTCACCTATGAAAAATGATGAAGAATGTGGATTTGACTGGAAACAAATGGTGAGATATCATGTGATATTCGGACACTTATTGGAAAATCACCTCAACATTTCCTCAACTACGATCCATATGGTTTTATAGTCCTGCAATCCCCTATGATGTGGTTGTTAGAATGCAAACATATGCAAAGTCGTCATAGTTGGTTTAAATGGGGACCTCCTAAATGTGGTGTACTACCGATGGTGCACCAACGTGGTAAGACCCATAATTAACGAACCACTGTTTTTGGAACGGTTTTGAACATCTTCAAGTGGCACAACTTGGGAAATGGCCAGCGCGTATTCATATGACCACACTACTGAAGATGATATGTTTACTGGTAGGTGCTTTCTTTTGTGTCTAAAAGAATTGAGAACCACTCATATTGAAAGCTGGTGATCCTCATGATTTGGGTCGGTGGCGGACGTAGAAGTGAGACAGCTTCACCATGCAAGCACTACGTGTGCGGGTCACTAAAACTGAGACGAAATGGGGGACAATCACAATACAATTGATATCTATGATCTATGCATGATATAGCCATGATTTGGCTATGGCTAAACATGGACCCAATGGATGAGATTCCAAAACTTCACCCTGCAGGTGGTGTGCCGTTGATGGACCTCCGTAGCGGCCGCTTGGGGTGAAATTTCATGGCTTTCAGAGCTGGACCTCTGGGGGAATGAATCCAGCGCCAGCTACGAGAGTAGCGGAGGGTTCTTGTGTTCCCGGAGGTCTGGGGGTGCCTTGTTCGCGGCAGGTTGTCTTCCGCAGGTCTCAAATTGACCCCTCGCTGTGGCTGCAAAACGTGTTCTCTTCACGGTGTGAAATGCCATTTTGTGTGCGGGCTGCAAAACATGTTGTTTTGAAGGTGCGCAATGTAATTTGCATCCAACAACTAACTAGACCGTCACATGATCTTTCGCAAGTGAAAAAAACCTAGCAGTATCCTAGCAGTGTAATTTCAATTCCTCAATGGCCGATGATCTACTTATGGTGCATGGACACGACACTACTGAGAGTGGCTTATATTCCTCTTCGTAAATGGTTTGACCGTCGCACATGAGTAAATTGTTATTCCCCAAACAGTGTGTCCACACTGAGGGGTTCTTACGGTAGGAGTTGAGGCCGGGGTTGGATCATGGGAGGCCATCTGCTTTGTGGCATTTTTGCAGTAAAATTTCGCATATTTGCGAGGCACTTGGACATGTCCATGTGCATTTCGACCGCGCAGGCTCGCGCAAAGTCTGCGCCGCGGGGTTCTCAAGCTCTCGCCTAAACGGGCTCTTGTCAAAGTCCTGCTAAAATCCTTTCTACGAACCTGTTGCATGATCCTGCACAGGTCCTTGACAGAAGATCTTGTGGAGATCCTGGTGAGATCCTTTCTAAAAGGTCCTTTGTTGAGGAGCTTGCACATGCCATGTCTTAGAGGTGCTTGTATGAAAGCTCTTGTGGGAGGCTTTCGGGAGGTTCTTGTATCAAGATCTTGCAAGATCCGCTCCGGCAGCAGCAGGTCCTTTTGCGATGATCTTGTGAGATTCTCTTCGGGCTCCTGGCACGAAGATCTTGCTCAAGGTCTTTGACACGTCCTTGTGCGAAGATCTTGTGAAGATCCTAGTGAGATGCTGTCAGAGGCCTTTGCATGATCTTGTACAGGTCCTTGTGAGAAGCTCTTGAGCAGCGTGCTTTTGCCATTCAACACTGCGGGGTGGGGAAATCTTCTACGTTTCTTTTCCTGTTTACTGCTATGTCTGATTGTTCGTAATGTCAAAGCGTCCATTAAACAAAACAATCGGGTTTGTGGATTCTATCAGTTGGTGGTGCTTTGGCGAGCGATCGTTATAGCGAACGAGGGAACCCCCCCGGGAGAATTTTACCATTGGTATTAGTTAGCTTCCCCTGTGCATTGATGATGTATCCCAACTGTTCCTGGCGAAAGCAATATTACTGGCTCAACATCGCATTTCTAGCATGAGCATTTTGGAAATTCATTTAGATTCCCTGATATTGATTGACGGTTATTTCCCCGATTTTCTTGGATGAAATTCCTATTCTGCCGGTGATGGATTTTTTTCTTAGTGACACTATCTCTTTGATGGCTCTTTTACCTTTTTGTTGGTTGAATCACAGCATGTTTGAATGATATCAAGTTATATCATATCCCGATTTCTTTGAACATTATATACATATATTGAAATGGAATAATCCAGTTATATCATATATTGATGTTGGTTGAATCCCTCATTCAACCTGCGGTTACTTGCTTTGGTTTGGGGCTTCGAATTCCTGGAAGTACCCCAGTTCGTGATAATGACCTGTTCATCGGGCAATCCAGCGATTCCGAACTGCGATTCCGACCCCAGTTCCCACCAATTCTGGTAGATTCTTCATCATGTGCGTGTTTGTCCATATTTTTTTTATCATTATATATATAAATATATATATATATATATGAATATACACATAAATATAAGTTTAGATAAATCTTAATATACACATAAATGACATATAAATGTGTATATATATACACATTTCATTAATATATCACTTAGGAAATATCATTTAGGATAAACAAATATATCAATTTGGTATAATTTAAATAAACGAATAAATAAATGAATAAATAAAAAATAAAAATAAATAAGTGTATATATATATATGACACAGAAAATTGTTTATATAAGTAGTGTATCCCATGATTTTTGTGGGGTAGGACATCCACTGCTTCAGGTGGTTTCAGCCTCATGGACCTCCGTCTTGCAGGATTCTCGGCCGAGGCACTGGAAGGTGCGGAACCGCCAGGAACAGCCAGGGCCATGGTGGGCCATGGTGGGCCATGGTGGGTTTGAGCAGCAAAAATGTGGGGATTTGGCAGATTTCCATAGAACATGTGGGGATTTGGAGGGGTTACCCGGCCTGGTAATTTGTTCCAGTTTGCGACATTGAAAAATGGCCCAGTCGAAATAGTGAATTTTCCCATTAAACATGGAGATTTCCATAGTTATGTAAACGTTTACCAGAGGGTAACCATCAAACATGACCATCAAACACATGGATTTCACCACGAAAAAACCAAGATTTATCCAATGAATCATGGGTATGGGCGTGTGGGAACAAGACGGCAATTTGAGAGGGAACATAATGATACATCAGGTTTACGGCTACACTGTTTTCACAAAACCCATTTAAGCAAATACTAAGACATCGCAATTCACCAACATTTATCATTTAGTGCAATACAAGGGTTTTGCCGAGGGTGCGAAACATGAAAACACATCGTTTTGGATCAAAACGTAACCCTGGTCTAAAAAAATCAGTGGTGTTCATGGATGGTCAAAACCGGCCGCTAACCAGCCTGTCCCAACCAACCGGTCAACAAAATCAACATGAAATGTCCGATTGGAACATCACCCGACCATCAGTAGAGATATGATACCCCAAGAACCATCTATCTATTCTGGTGATGTTGAAGTATTTATGTGTAAGATGCTTTCATCCCCATTTTGGTTGTTTCGAGCTGCAATTTTCGATGTTCAAGAATTGGATCATCAAATCGAATGGTACAATCCCTATTTTGATAGTCAAATCCACGTGTTTCATGGTTCAATCCCAAGTTTTGACGATCTAAAATGCAACATTTTTGGTGGTTGAAATTCCGAGTCATAGAAGGTTTTCCCATAAATTGCCTCCATTTATGGGGAATTTAATGAATTTGCCCCATATTTTCCACTGGTTTCCCAGGCCTTTGCCATTCGGATGCTCCAATCTGCCAGGCATCAACCGTCGTCTCCTGGGGTCCTTCTCGGCGGGGGATTTGTCGCTGCTGCCGCGCATGGCGCCAAAGCCCGTGATTTCCAAGGCCGGAAACAGTGGAAGTTCCGAGGCAGTCCGAGGTGGGAAATCTGCCAGGACCAATATTGGGATACCCTCTGGTGAACTAACATAGCAATGGAAAATCACAATTTTTCATGGGAAAATCCACTATAAATGGCCATTTTCCATTGCTATGTTAGTTCACCAGAGGGTATTACTTTGATTTGTCATGGCATTGCAGATTCCCACTGTTAGTAGATGGCATGGCTAATGGCAAAAAAATCCCAATATTGTAAAGTAGAATACTACCACTATTTTACTTTTGCTATGGCTACTACTACTACTGCTACTACTACTGCTACTGCTAATGATGATATTAACAATAATGATGATGAATTTGTTTGGTAGTAACCATCATCAATCATGATGTCAATAATGAATTTGAATCTGTTCATTTTTCATAATAGTAATAATGGCAGTAGGATAAGTACCATTTCTGGGATCATAATTTGGATACCTGTGATCAATTTGGAAGGTGAAACCAAACATATTGGATAATCATCCCACAATATAGCAATGCTGGTTTTTACTTGGAAAATCATCCAATGTGGCAAGTAAAACCACCAAACATCCCAAAATTTTTTTTGGTACGCTCAATTTCATAGACCACAATTTCCGGATGACTTATTATTGTGGATCCCACACTAGCCTCTCGAAACCTAGTCTGGCCATGGAACATTACAGATGATTTTCCCTCTAACCCTTCAATTCATAGGGGATTTCCCATTGTAATGTTTGATTGATGGAGGATACTTGGATGAAACACATTGAGTTAGTTCCGTGATTAGCAACCCGCCCGTCAGCCACAACATACAAGTTTAGAATTGCCCATAGGAAAATATCCCCAGTTACAAACCACTTAAGAAACGAATTACCAACTTACCAAGCAACTAGTCGGATCGAAGTACTTTCCATTTACCCTCTGGTAAACTAACATAGCTATTGAAAATGGCCATAGAAATAGTGAGTTTTCCCATTCAAAATGGTGATTTTCCATAGCTACGTTAAATTACCAGAGGGTAGTCAAAAGTGGCGGGTTTATTTCTCTATCAATGGAGGTAAAAAAAATGTGGATCAAAATCCATAGGTCGGGATATGACATATATCCACTCATATATCTGGGTAAATCATAACGACCTCACTGCGACCTCACTGGAATCATGGTTAATAAGGGGAATCATCCCCAAATGGCCTTAATTCAGGTTAGTGAAATATTATAATTTACCCAGATATATAACTGGAACTGCACCCCCAAGTATCATGGGATTTTATTGATTTTTCCATTGCCATCTTCATTTACTAGAGTGATCTAGAGTGTACGTTAAAAGAAACCATGTGTGTATTGCAACCAAAATGGGATACCTTTAAGGACTTACAAATCTTATCATTGTGAAAACCCATGATAATATTGTTATGTTGAAATAGTTTCGATCCAATCCCATGTGAGTTCATCAGATTTTCAGATGTCACAGAGGCAAACAGCTGAATTTCAAATAGGTCCAGAAAGGCATGAAAAAAGGTATTAAAACAAAGTTGGAAGTCTTGACTTTTGCAGGTAAAAAACATGTTATACATGTTATTATCCAGGAGCCTTTTCGGTCATGGTTGGTTGTTTTTTGGATTTCCAAGTGGATCCAGTCGCTTCCGGACAGCCTGACAAAGCCCTTCACTGCGTCATTGTTCTTGCAACATCAACTGTTGAGTGTTGACTATTCTTCAAAATATCATCATTTGACCAAAGAAAACCGGCGATTCAAAGATTAATAGGTATGTAAAGGACCAGTTCTTTTTGTGGCAAAAATGTTATCTCCGAGTTTTTGTTGCTGTTCAGCGGCATCAGACCGGGGAAGCCGCCCTTAGGGCTTTGCACTCAGCAGTGCCGGCTTCATGGTCATGAAGACCTTGGCTGCGAGCAATGCAGGCGAGAGCGGCGTTTGTACCGAGAAGTGGTGTCGCAAAGACTGAGGTATTTCAACAACAAAGATGCGGATGTATGAACAGTTCTCCCAAAATGGATGGTTTATGACGGGATGATTTAGGGGTACCCCCTTTTTAGGAAACCCCAATATCAACCATTATTGAATATGATTGATCATTCATATGGAAAAAATCCTGCAGCAGTTGGAAGATGGTTTATCCGTTTTCCCCATTTCTCCCGTTGCAATCGCATCATTTACAGTGGTTCATAGCTACCAATAGAAATCCAACTGGTGCGGGATTTCTTCCATCCACAGCATGATTGGATCTTTTGCAGATCTACGGCACTTGGTGAATTTTAAGCAGACAAAATGTGGCTCAACATGTAAGGACTGAAGAATGTGGACCCTGCTACTGAGATAATAGGGATATCAAAAATATCAAAAAAGGGGGTATACAATGCAGCATGAACTCGGAACACACCCAACAACTACAGAAAATTCAGTCAACAACTCTAAGAATCTAAGACCTTGAGCCTTGACTTTCTCACAGCACACCGGAGTTTTTCAGCGTTATCACTATCGTTGCTTCCATTTGGAGACTAGATGACCGTTGAATAGTTTCAAGAATGTTTGGTTCTTGTCAAATCATCATCTATCTCGACTACTGTGATTTCACTTGATATAACTATATAAGACTATACAAGACGATATAACTGGATATATCTAGAACCAACACTTGCCCTCTGGTTATTTAACATAGCCATGGTATAGATGGCCCATAGAAATAGATGGTTTACCGTTCTTAAAAATGGTGGATCTTTCCATGGCGAACTGTGAATGTCATAACCAGATGGTATCATTTATAACCCCCGTTGTACACCATGGCTTGCTGGAAAAATAGTCGTTTCTCTTCACCAGGTGCAGCGGTGGTGCCACTGCCACCGCTTCAACGGCAGATGACACCGATGATCCGTGAACACACCGAGCCTCGGCTGGAGCGCCTTTCAAAAGAACACGGTTTTTTTTGACCACCGTGATGGGTTGAATTTGCAGTATATATCAATGGGTTGAATTTACAGTATATATACCCTCTGGTAAATTAACAGTTGGACCCTGAAAATAGCCTAGTTTTAATGGAAACTCATCTTCCAACCCCGATGACTGCCAGGGTCTATGTTAATTTACCAGAGGGTATATATATATATATATGTATGTACTGTATATGTATATGTAAGTAAATAAACAAATAACTATATAGATATAGATATACACATTAGTGATATATGCTCATGTTTGTTGGTGAGATCTCTTTTTGAAGCATTTATGGTTTCTTGTATTTGATATCCGACTGCTGGTAGGTTCATGTCCACATCGTTTGTGCGGTTTAAACTTCTTTTCTTGATCCATGTCTGGGAACATCTTATATCGTTGGGGTAGAACAAATCCATAGACAGTGAAGATGACTCGATGGGAAAATCTGTTGGAACATGTTGGAACCATCTTGACTATCCCACTTGGAACATCTTTAATATCTTATGGGAAAAAAACATCCAATATGAATCTTTTCTTAGTGGAACATTGAATTCCCAGGAGATTGGACAAATCTCTAGTGTCATCAAAGATTGAGATTAAGATTAATCATTAATATCTTTTGTCTCTTTAAAGATTGGATGTTTCTTTATATCTATTAGTCTCTGATTTTTTTTTTTACATCCGATATCTTTTGGAGTTTGATGAGTTGAGGATTGGAGCTCGCCCTATGCAGCCATGTCTGGGGGCCCGTTGCCCGTTATGACCTGTTGTGGATGCCTTCACATTTCAGGGATGGATAAATGGGGAGTGGAGCATCAAACAGACATTAACCATAGAAAATAGATGGAAAATCAATGGAACATCGTTTTTTTTTTTGAATGAATACTTGCAGGTATGGATATTTATGCTATTTGTCCATAGGTGAATTAATTTTCAAATTATGGCCACTGGAAACACTGGAAAGCATGGAGGTTTTGAGGTTTTGTGCTTTGGTGGTGCTCTACTTTGAGGCAAACCCCATGTCCAAACTCGAAGGCCCCACGAACCCAGAAGCGCAGATGCCTCAAGTGGCATAACAAAACAGCAAACATGAAGGTAATTTCCGATGAAAATGACAAGACGCAATTTTCATGTCATGTTGGATGAGCAGTATCAGACTTGAGAATGAATGAACGCCCGGACTTTTCACATGTCCACGGAAAGAAGTCACAAAAAAAGAGGGCTGGGATGCTCAGGTTTTTGCTGGGGATTATCCCCACGAGGACCGTATTTGGTTTCGGATTTGAGTTTTGACTTTCTCCCAAGCCATGTTCCTAATTGTGGGGCTGTAATGTATTGTGACCCCCAACCAGGTGGGGTTGTCTTAGAATGGGTACCCCCAAAAACTAATGGAAATCCCAATTCTTGATGCTTAAACCATGATGGAAAATCCAAATAAATTGTTTGGTGCCTTCTTATGTTTTCTTAAAATTGTTGATGGTGTACATGACTATATACATCATTATACCTGTTTATTATCATTATATCAAATTATATCAAATTATATCATTTATTTCTGATGATTTCTGTAACCTCTTCATTTTGCCAAGCACGGAACATCCGCGATTTCCTGGGCTTTTTGAAGCGCTGCAGGCCTTCACCTCCCAAAGGGAGCGCCGTGAAATCCGCCAGGATGTCCTGAAATGTGAAGCATTGGGGGGTCATTTTGCCAACCAAAATATGCGATTTCACTGGGGTTGTTGTCTTTCTTTGGAAAATCACCATTTTCAATGGGAAAAACTATGTTAATTCTTCTTTACCCTTTGGTTATGTCAAAATAGCTATGGAAAGATCCACCATGCTATTAATGGGAAAAACCACTATTAATGGCCATTTTCAATAGCTATGTTAGTTCTGGTTATGTCAAAATAGCTATGGAAAGATCCGCCATTTTTATAGCTGGGAAAATCCACTATTTCGACTGGGCCATTTTCAATGGCAAACTGTTAGTCATTACCAGAGGGTAAACCTCCATTTTCCTATGGTTTTCCTATGGTTTTCCTATGGTTTTGATCATCACTTGAGAAAGGATCTGATCATCCTTTGGAGATCTCCACTGTTTTTGTTGGGTGATGTGCAACTTCGACATGTACGGTTCCCCCGTTTTGATGGGGATTTTTTTGTGGGGATATCATGGGATTTGATGTCATCATACTTAAAGGTTTATGGGATGACGGCAATGGGGGTTACAATCACTGAAGATTTAACTTTTACCGACAAAAACCAATCATGATGATTGATGTTTATTGATAAAATGCTTGTTACCAGCATTTTTACCCACCAAGCTTACTTGGTGATTTCTGATTGTTGATCAGTCATGTCATGATTGTCATGGTTGTTGCAAATGTTTTCCACCAGATTCGGGAAACAAGATGAAAAAAGGAGGGACCCAGGGACCTTTTTTCCAAGTGTAAACGCCAGAAATGGTGTACCAGTCACCAGCTCGTCACCAGCTCTGGGAGACCTTGGATCCAGACAGAATGGGCCAATCATATCCAGCGCATATGGGGGTTGCCTCAAAATCGGGTACCCTAAATCCCATGGTTGATCTCAAAATCCCACATTTTTCCATCAAAAAGCAAGGAATTTTATGGGTATACCGGGCCACAATTTTATGACAAGCCCAAATATCGTATGATGAGATATGATGAGATATCCAATGATATCGGACTATGTTCCTGTATCATAGTTAGTTTACTGTAATCCCCACTGTTTGGTGGTTTCCACCCAAGTTCCCAAGAAAATTGAGCCATGACCTGCTTCCGGATGCAGGAGCCGCCCGAGCAGCTCCAAGGGTTTTTTGTTGGATTCCAACGGCAAAGTCCTGCTGTGACCGCGAAAAACGCGCTCGATGTCAATGTCCCATGGGCTTCGGCACTGCGCGATGATCCAACAAAATGGGTCCAGTTGGAGCTACCCAAGAGTTTCCAGGCTACATTGACTCACTGTTTGTTTTCGAGAATTAACTCGGGGGTTCCTGAAACAAGATAGGAGTAGGGATGTTGTTTCAGGCTCCGTTTCTTCGTCAACCAGGGGATTGCCTGGAAGCCACATCATTTTGGAGGGGAGGTCAACTGTCCAAGACACGAGTAATATTTGGGTTCCAGGTGTACATGGAAATTTATTATACCATCTGGTTATGACTAACATAGCCATGGTATAGATGGCCCATAGAAATAGATGATTTTCCCAGCTAGATACCTCCATTTATAAGGGATTTTCCATGGCTATATTAAATAACCAGATGGTATTTGAATATATTTGATACATGCCTAACATATTACATTACAGACAATAATTCTCATTGCCCTTTATTACCTTTCATTGCATTCAATGTCGTTACGTTAGGTTACACTAACTTACGTACTTACTGATTTACTTGCTTACCTGCAGACACAACATAGCATCGCATCGCGCGGCACAGCACAGCATAGTATAGCGGTACGTTACTGTACGTTAGGTTGCGTTGCATTACATTACAATCCATCCATCCGTGCAGGTGTCCTTAGATCACGCCGGCCTTAGGTGAAAAGATCCTCCATGTTTCGGGGATCCAAACCTTGATGTTTCGATCCGGATGAGGGATTTGACCGAATTTCAGCTGAAGTTGCTAACATTGGAAACTCCATATCAATAAACCAGAGGTTTAGTTCAGCAAAAAGTGGACATTTTTAGGGAGTGAGCCACCCTAAGTCAGTCATCTCAGCACTCAGCAGAGTTGTTTTTTCAACGTTTCGATTTCTTCCGACTGAAGCCCAACGATGCCATGAAGACGCTTTTAACTGCGTCGGAATGGCTGTAGAATTTATGAACAGGTGTGTGGTTCAGCCCTTTTTGGCGATACCAGAAAAAGACCAGCAAATCACCATCAAAAAGCAGGCCATTATTTTTTTGTACTTCCTTTTTGAAGCCCCAAAAGAACTTCCATTCCACTAGGATCCGCAGCAGTTGATTTTTTCGGGGCTGCACCAATGCTTCGCACGCACTCGTCGTCTCCAGCTGTCTCGGTTGAAAGCCATACAACTGGGGAGCCTGGGGACCTGTCAAGTGGTGGCTGGAGATCTAAGGGAGATGAACTTAACTCATCGGTTTAAGAGGAGATTTACTAGAGATAATATGGGGATTCTTGATGGTATGAAATTCATGGGATTTTATATGGGAATTTGTATACTTTATCCGGAAATATGACCAGCAATGCAGAACTTGCGATTGATGTAGCGATCTGGGTATGGATCAATACCTACTAATACCATTTTTGGGCGGATGAACATCCATTTACCAGCTATTTTGATGTTCATCAGGGATACAAGGTTTTGACACACTGCCATCTGCTAGTTGATTGGGGGGTTCCATTTGATCGCATTTATTAGTGGCATTTACTAGCTATATGTATCACTCTTTTTGGGAACAAACCTCCCATTTGTTAAGACGACGGTAATTTTTCGAACCCGGGTTGACATTCTCTACGGAATCTCTGATTTCAATGATTCCGTAAAAATGTGAAAATCTGGTCATTATCAACATGAATTAACATCAGTTACCATCTGGTTATGACTAACATAGCCATGGAAAGATCCACCATTTTATAGCTAGGTAAACCATCTATAAATGGGTCATTTTCCATAGCTATGTTAAATAACCAGAGGGTATATATATATAAAAACGCACTAAAGTATGTCGTTCTCTCTTTGGGGTTCAAGGTTGACAGGCGACTTTTCAAAAATTGCACCCAGCTGATGATGTAGTCTCTTGACCAAGGCAAACCTTGTTTGGAAAGAGTGTCCTGAATTCTTGGTTTACCCTTTGATTATTCAACATAGCTATGAACAATGCCCATTTATAGATGATTTATGTTTATTTACCTATTTAACCTGGTGATTTTCCGTAGCTATGTTAAACAATCAGAGGATAGTTGGAAGGGAAGTTGCCAGTGAAGTTCATCCTGCGAAATCCACATGTCTCAAAGTAGGATATCTCCAGCTTTGATGGTCTAAAGCCTTATTGTCCCCATCAACATGGCCATTTTTTTCATACTTGTTGCGTGGTATCCACCATTTTTGTTGTGACCTCTCTCAGATCCCCGAAGCCACCTTCCACTCTCCGGCCGTTTGGGCCTGGGCTGACTTTTTTTCCCGCCAGATGTGAGTTGCTGCGAAAATGGGTTTTGGTCCACACTCATCCACTCCTTTTTCAAGCTGGGGAAGTAAGTTGCAGCTAAGATCCGTGTGTTGGACTGAACAAAATGGGCGCAACAAGACGAACATTACCGCAGTTTTCGCAGCAACTTTTTCTGAAATTCTTTGCATTGTTTTCCTGCCACAGATTTCAAAGGCAGACGTTGGCGGTCAAGCCGCCCAGTTGTGGTGTCGATCCCTTTTCCAGAGGAAAAGGGCGCAGATCTGAGTTGCAGATCAGAGAAGATGGATGCCAAGAGATTCTGCAGTGGATAAGCATCACTTTTAGGCTGTGATACGTACTGCAGTGGTTGATCCCCTTCAAACGTGATATAGAATGATATCTACACACATCGAGAGAACATATATATAATAACTCCTGAATGCCTGTTAGCTGATGAATAGGTATCAGCATCAATGTCATGAATATTCACTAATATGAGGATGTTTCAACTGCAAAGAATTGGAATTGAACAACAGTTTCACCATGCATTATATAGATCATTTGACAATTTTCTTTCCAAAGATTTTAAATCTAGTCCATTAGATTTACCATAGAATTTAAACTGCTTGAGCGCCATAGCATTGGAACGATCGTTCTTTGGCAGGTAGCCGTCAGGGTTGAGGATCCATTCAGAAAGGCTCGTTTTTTTGGTGCCACTCCAAAAAAGACGGTTAAAAAGTAAGTTACCACATTTTTTAGTGTTTTGGTGGTAACTTATATACATGATATAAAGATATATATATATATGTATGTATGTAATATATATATATGTAATATATATATAATGGACATACTTTCTGGTATAAATTACCAGAGGGTAAATCACCATTAATCACTATAAAATCACCATAGGTTTCCATCCTTTTTTTTGGTTGCTATCCATCGGTGCATCTCTTGCGCATCCATCGGAGTGGCGACTCGTCTCTGTTTTCGCTGGGGAGGTCAGCGGGCGAAGCCGAGAAGAACGCCTGGTGGAGTGTTGGATACCTGTTGGATATGTTCATCTGGGGTTCCTGACATGTATATATATATGTATATGTATATGTATATAGATATTTATATATATATATATATATTTATAGGTATTTGTATACAAACACATATACATATATATATACACATTTGTGTATATATAGAGACACATATAGACCACTATCATTTGCAAAGTCGAAGTTTTGGCACTCCTCCTTTAGAAGTCGTTGACAAAGACCCAACCACGGTTGCAAGGCACATAAGAACATGATGGCAAGGGGGCTGGAATGAATCAATGTGTTAAACCTAGTGCCGATTTCTCGTTTTGAGTGTACGGTTTGAACACTGTTATTTTTGTTGTCCGTAAGATTCGCCTAGTGGTTGACTTTGTTGTTTAATAGGGGTATGTTTTGTTCAGGCTCAATTTGCCGGATGCATTGGTGCTTTGAAAATGGGGGGGGCTCCAAGAATCTGCCAAGCACGGTCTCGTCAAGGGGCCCTTTACAAAACTCCTGTGGTCCAGGGACGGAAGATCAGTCAAGAAACCCTGCTGGAAACCCAGGATCCTGAGATGATGCCACATCATTTTGGTGTGTCTGACGTGAGAACATCTGTGTTCTTTTCTCCTAGTAGCACCTGCCTAATTTCAGCCTTTGAGATTTACCCTCAGGTAATCAGACATGGCTGAAAAAGTCCCCATTGATAGGTGTTCCCATTTAAGTGCCCATTTATAGATCATTTCCCCAGATTTTTCCATGACTTTCCTATGACTTTACCATTAAACCTCCATTTGTAATGGATTTTCCATTGCCTTCCTTAGGTGTCTTTGGGTGACCCAACTAGCGCAAAGTTGTACCCCCTGCGGTTCTGGCCATGGCGTGTTGGCTTTCAGCTGAAAAAACAGTAGTCAGTGGGTCTGAAATGTGGGTCAAAGCCAAGCATCCCCTGAAAAGGATAGACAGACATCAGAATAAGTCGAAAGACCAGGAAACATCGAGATCTAAAATGATCTAAAACTACGATTCTTGGTAAATTCCCCTTGTTGTTTCTGGGCGCTTCAAAATTTACGGCCCATGGTTTGACCATGCCAGAGAGCAGGCTGGGAACGACCAGGCATCCAGATGGGATAGCCACCAATCCAGGGATCCAAATCGCAGCATCGATTGGGGATTTCCAGCAGATTTTGGCCACAGAGCTTGGTTTAAAACTCAACAAAGAGGAAGTCGTCATTGTCCCAACACTTCTTGCTATTTGATAAGGCCAATAAGGGATGAAAACAACAGTTATACTTGAACCACCCATGAGCTCCCCGGCTTGTTATTTGTGATATTTGTGATGTCATTTTTTACTCAGCACAGATTTACTGTCGCAGCATGTGGAACATCGTGGAACCGAACTTTTGTGACTTCCAGGCGGAAGTCTTCCATAGCCTCGATATGTTTTTTTTTTTTTTTTTTATGCTGCTTTTCAGGAGGGAAACATATACAGAGCGAGAGGGAACGTAGACGAATTGGTCCATTTTCAGGATAGTAAAACATCTCATTTTCGGGTACCCAACGACTTAACCTATATCCATATGGATCCATATGGTATATATATATATGTACACATACAGTACATTTATAGATGATACATGTTCTGTTTATTGGGGATATGTAAAATCATGAAATGACATAGCATGAGTATTTTTTCTTTTTAAAGCTTAGTAATTCGAAGATAACATATCCAACAAACACCTGGAAAGACTCCACGGCCGTTTGAAGAGGGCCTATAAAAGGTTTCTTTCCATCATGGTCATATATATATATATGGACATGGGGAACCATGTGATTTCATACCTGTTATAGAACATATGTATTATATATATATACGCATATACATGCATGCATCCATCCATCCATCCATCCATACAGGTGCCAGGCCGACTTGGCCCACTTCGAGGTCCGGAAGAGTCTGGAATTTTTCACCATCGAAAAACATCTGGCGGAAGCGGAATTTTTGGGGGTGAAATTGGGATGACACCATGATGAATTTAATTGAAGAATGATGATAAATGGATATATAAATACATAAATAAATAGATAAGAAAAACCATAAATATGTATATATATATACATGGGGTTTTCCAGAAAACCACAGATTTCTCTCCAATTTATGTGAGTTTTTCAATGGGAGCAAACCCAGATTCGGCATGATTTGCGAATTCTTGTTGGTTGGTTGAACATGTTCTTTTTCTGGGGGGTTACTGTACTCAGCATCCAATGTTGTTGCCTGGTTGATAGTTTCCCCATTTTCCCCAGTGGTGATGTTGGAAGTTCGCGTTTTCCACGTCGGGAATCGGCTGGACCACGGAGCGATCTTTCTCAGCTTACCCCACTGAGCGACAGCAGCAGTAATTTATCACTATTTTTGGTGATTAATGGTGATTAATAGTGATTCATGGTGATTAATGGTGATTAATGGTGATTTACCCTCTGGTAAACTAACATAGCTATTGAAAATGGTGATTTATAGTTGATTTACCCAGCTATAAAATGGTGATTTTCCATAGCTATGTTAGTTTACCAGAGGGTAACCACCCCAATAAATAGTCAGGAGCAATTATATATAATCCGGATTGACATTAACCGGACTCTTGTACCGAGATGATAAACCCAAAGTCAGCCAAGACTTAGTAGCTGGGATGATATCCGACTATCTCCCAGCTACAAGTGGCTGTGGCTATAGCTTCTTGAAAGTCCATGACTCCTACTTCAGGGGTCATCCCAGTTCTTACATGATAATATCTATAAATAATAGTTTTACATGATTTATAAATAATAGCAGTAGGAGTCATGGACTGTCATATCTATAGTTTTACATGATCAACTTATCCAAATTATAACCATAGTTTTTAGTTGATTTGTAAATAATCACTGTAGGTTTGTCAACTGTAAATAATCGCTTTGCTGATAGTTGATATCCCATTGGTACATTTGTTGATGATCATCCCAATCACCCATTGTGACCACTGACGAAAAGGAGAACGTAAAGTAAAGGAAAACTTCTTTCGGCCAAGAACTTTTTCTGACTAATGTGGTTAAACTAAAAAATCATAAACCTACCATGACTGGGGATGCTAACCATACCACCTATAAAAATGGTGATGACTGGGGGATGACTTATTATCGGGTTTACCCTCTGGCAAACTAACATAACTATGGAAAATCACCACTTTTAATGGGAAAATCCACTATAAATGGCCATTTTCAATAGCTATGTTAAATTACCAGAGGGTACCCCATTACTGGAGGCAACAACTAGCCATCATTTACCGGTTGAATCCCTGTAAAAATTGACTGCGTCTCTTTTTCAGGTTAACCTGTACGTGTTGGTCGGATTATTACCCATGTTGTTGACAGGAGAACTGTTTTCACAAAAATACGGGATTTCATGGGATAACACGGGATATATTAGATTGTAGTTGGCAAAGCACCAGCGCATCCTTTTCTGCGCACACAAACCCCAAGGCCCGAGTCGAGCCAGCACAGCTCCGGTAGAACACATCTACCAAATGTAATGGAAATGATTCCAGGTCAGTCGCCTCAGAATTCACACCGACCAGACTCTAATGGCCTGGAATCAGAAAAAGGATTGAGTTGGAACTCTCTTTGAATCCCAACTCTGATAAGGACCACCGCCCTTTTGTCATCACATCACGGAGGAATGAACTTCCCATTTTCTTCGTTAAACTATCAGCAACCATCCTAGCACCTTCGACCCATCTCACCTGTCCTCGGGTTGTTCGAAAGTCTCTCTTCAGGATCGTCACGTCGATGGCCGTCCGCTTGTCTTCGATGTGCGCTGTGGTGTTGCAGCACTTCTGAATTGTGTCGTAGAGGGATTTGCTATCCGTCACGGCTATACAAGGAAGTTGGCTAACCTCCTCTTCCCAGTTGCTCAAATCTAACGGTCGTCCTTGAGCTTCGCGAACTAGAAATCGAAGCCAGTGTAGAGCACCAACACCTTGTAGCATCGCCTGACATTCAGCAGATAAGGTGTTTACTGTACACCTCTTTATCCGAAAGCTCTTCCAGTTGACGATGGTGATGGGAAAGGATCTCTCCTCTGTCTCCATGCGGCTATCATAGAAGAAGGTCATGAAGCCGCCCTGACTTGCAAGTCGTCCTTGTTGTAAGAACTTCTCATTGAGCTTTGTCTTCCCTTGTTTCCCAGTTTCTGATTTGTAGAAGACAGTCTGTCCACACCAAGGTTCGTCTCCATAGGTACAGGTGCTTCTTCGTTGGTTCCACTCATCTCTATGTTCCTGGCCATCAGCAATGGTCACCCGCTCAGAGGTTAGGTGATAGCAGTTGGGTCCACCAGGATCTCCCGCAGGATGAAAAAGAAGTCGACGGGGTCGTACATGATGTCGGATCCAACAGTCCTGCTTCTCCTCCCAGTAATCTTCACGTTGATTCGGATCGTTTTCTTCCTTCTCTGGGTTGGTATTTCCCCATGAGGCATCCGACACTGTTCCAACACGGAGGTGTTGAATTGGTATGGGCTGGATTGTGATGCCGATCTCGGCGAACTTCACAGCTTCCTTTGCTAAGACATTGGCCTCGATGATGTCCTGCACATAGGGCTTGGGCATTGCTTGTTGAAGAAGTGCAACCCGTCCGGACAAGTCCGGTCTTGTTTCCTTTGCCAGCCAAGACAGGCTTCCAAGTAGCCCTCTAAGTTGGCTGATTTCCTGGTCGGTACAGTAGGCATATTTCTCCTGTTTTCTGGTCTTGGTCAGAAGAATCGGCTGGATCTTCTTCGCAAACAGTGGTTGGTTGACCAGAAAACTGCCATCAGGTCGGCAATGAATTTCTTTGCCGACAAAACGTCCATCACCTTGAGTAAATTTTCCAAGCTTGTAGTTCCCATTGAGCCACTGCATCTTCTTCCAGTGATCATCATCTCCACCATGTAGAAGATCATCCGTTGCTACGCTGATCACCCCTTTCAACGTCTTGGCCTCGTCATCGGCGGTCAAGTAGAATAGGCATGGATCTCCTGCGCTTTGTCGGTATCCCAACGTTTTGGTGAGCACTCTCAGGAGATGTTGGTACCATGCATAGGGTCCATCTAGAAGGCCATAGCATGTCTTCTTCAATTTGAGAAGTTGTCGGGGATGGTATCCGGGAAGTCCACATTCACTAGGCTGTGATGCGTACACCTCCCGGGAAATGTTATCACCGCTGTGGAAGGCCTGGGTGAAGTCCAAGTAACCTGGTATCCATTGGTGGCTACAAATCAACTGTAGGGCGCATAGAACCGTGTCCCTGGCACACTGTGGGGTGGTTGTTTCCAGTTCTTCTGCATTGGTTTCACTGAATCCCTTCATCACATGTCTTGCCTTGGCCTTCAGACTGTCATCGCCCTTGTCTTCTAAGAGAATTCCATCCTTCCTGGCCTTCTCTACATCCTCTCGTTCTATCGGCTTCTCAGTGAGGACAAATCGAGACTTCACAATCTTGTCGTTGGCTGTTCGTCGGATCTCTTCAGACGTGACGGGGTCCAGCACCTCATAGGCATTGGTCTCCAGGTTGTTCTGAATCTCCTTTTTGATCGCAGCCAGCAATTGTTGTTTCTGGTGGTCTGGGATCTGGTTGTACTGGACCTCCTTCTTCATCTTCGCCTGCAACATCTTCTCGACGCTGGTCATGTAGAGCTCCAAAAATTGGGTTCTCAGTCTTTTCGCTTCCGGTTCTCCAGTCGAGAGCTTCTCGTCGTCCACAGGGTCATAGAGCTAGTGGTTCTTCAGGCTCGTACTCGTTCTCCTCATCAGGGATGCTCGGGGAAGGAATTTCTTCATTCTTCTCTCCTGAACTCTTTCGTAGCTTCTTCAAGGTAGGTTCTTCTCCGGCAGGATCTCGTGCATGTACTGGTTTTTCCCGGACGATATCGAACTCTGTTCTTCCGGTCCATGATGTCATTGTTTCCAACTCGATGTTCTCATACCAGTTGTCATTGACTTGAAACGTCTTGCCGGTATTGACATACTTTCCAAATGTCCTCCTCTGATGACCCACATGTTCTTGTTCAATAGGACAATCGGCAGATGCCTCATCCGGTGAGAAGAGCCAATCTCGTGGTTGGTGATGGAAACGGACCAGAAGTTGTAGTTCCTCATCTACATACCATTCATCCTGTAGGTTTTCCCCCTTAAAGATGATTTCTCGGTGATCTCTTTTGCCAATCAGTCGGTATTGTGGTTGTCTCTCGGTATCTTCGGTCTTCTCCGTCGGGTTCTCATCCTCATCCTTGAGCTCTGGGAAGGTCTCCTTGGTGAGGTCGATGTAGCCCACGCGAGGTTGTTGTTCGATCTCTTGTCGGGTTTGGGCAATATCATCGATCCACTTGGTCAAGGTGAATTGTTCCTCTTCACTTGCCAATCTCAGCTGTTCTGGTGCTGCCTTGACAATGTAACCCCTATAGTTCAGCCACACTGTGCTAGGAGGCGAGGTCAAAACGACTCTAGCTGGTCCCCTCCAATACTCAGGACTATCCCTTTTTGCTCCTTCCATGCCCTTTCTCCAGAAGTAGACTGTCTGTCCAACTTCATAATCGTGTAGTCGGCGGGGTCCGGCATGTAGGGTGTTCTTGACAGCTTGTTGGCAGTCCGCTTCATGAAAAGCCCTGGCAGCGGCCAATCTCATCTCGTATGCCTTTTGCAGCTGAAGGTCACCGCCTCGAAGACTTCGAGTTGAGAAATCATTGTAACCTCCTGTAAGAAGTCCACCTGGAACACGTGGACTGTACCCAAGGACTCGCTGAATTGGGCTAAAACCCGATTTGTTGATCAGTCGATTGCACGTCATGTTCGCGATGTCCAACAGCAGCTCCCATTCCTCTTCGGTCTGGCAGGTGTACTGCATCAGGGTTCGGCTGAAGACCTCCTTGAAGTTCTTGCCAGCTCTTTCTGTAATCCCCCGTTGAGAGGGCATTTCCAGGGAGCTAGGTTCAAATACAGTGGCATCATGTTCGGCTCCCAGCTCAAAGGCACCCAGAAACTCTCTTCCCAAATCCACATAGACTCGAGTCGGTGGTCCAAAGAACTTGATCCACTGGGAGTATGCCTTTCGAGCTTCTCCAGGTGTATGTCGCCGAAGTGGTATGATGAGCTGGAAGCGAGATGACCAGTCCACAATGTTGAGAGCCATTCTTTTCTTGCCGTCGATCGTGGGAATGTAAACGGTGTCCACACCCACTATCTCATTCACGTGTAGTTGTCTAGGAGGTGCTCCTCGACGGGCTGGATGAACTGCTCCATGTTGCTGGCACACGGAGCACTTCAGATTCTTCGCAATCTGGATGGCTTCATTCGAAGCCTTTGCATTTTTCAGAATCCTGGCTAACCGATCGTTGCCAGGATGTCCAAGTCCTTCATGGGCACGACGGACCAGTTGCTCTGTCGAAAAGGGTCGTTCTCTAGGAAGTCGGCCGCCAGATTCTGCATCAGGAAGTGCAACTGGATCATGAGGAGGTAGAACAGCTAGTCCTGGTTCTTGAGGTGGAGGGCATTCTTGAGAGCGTCCGGGTTCTGAATCAGGTCCAGGTAAGACAGGCTCCTCCACCGTGTCCTCATTCTCAAGCACCTGCTCATCGTTGTTGGCATAGATCTCCTTGATGGTCTGACAGGGGATAATCTCCTCCAGAGTCGGTTGTCGACACTGACGTTGATGCCATTCTTGGTAAAGTCCAGCAACTCCAGTCACATGTACTTCCTTCTCTTGCTTGATCTCATTCTTGTATCCACGTAAAATGGCATCGACCAATTTTGGAGGATATTCCTGGGCTTGTCGAGCTCGACTGCCTCCATGGTTGTTGCCCAGGATCTGCTCATGTTCATGGCTTCCGTCACATCTCCTAGACAGTTGTTCGGCGATCGCCGGTGAGTTGGTCAGGAAGCCAGTCGGCTTCTTGTGCAGGTTTCCATCCAGAGATCGTAGGTCGAATCGACATTGATCGGCTGCTGATATTTTCATTCCAATACAAATCAAGTTCATTCCTCCAAACAGCTCGATACCCAACCCCAAAAGAAAAACCACTAACATCACAACACTCATCAACCTGGCGGCCCTTATAGGCTTGCTCAAAATTCGACTGTCCAATTCCATGGTCAGTGTTCACACTGTCCTGTACAGTCGTCGCACGGTCAAAATGACCAGAACTCGGCTCAGTCGGGCTCTCAGTTGTGCTGGTTCGGGTGGATTCTTCAACTTGATCAAGTAGTCCGCAGAAGATCACTTCCTCCGATTCAAGCAGGTTCACCTCCTTGGACTTTATGTTCTGGCTGTTGCCCCCTTTGTTCATCGGGCACTCTGGGTCCTTATGCCAATGGCCAATTTGTTGGCACTTGGCACATCGCGACTTCGATTTGGCCTCACTCAGGGACATCCTATAGAAGCCACCCTTGACATAGCCGCTGGTTGACATAGAGCTCTGCGACCTCTGACCAGAGGATCCATTGTTCCTCCATTGTCCATAGCCTCGGGCTAGGTTCTTCGCCCTCTTGGTTCGAAGGCTCTGCATAAACGTTTTCTTCTTTTGGGTCAGCATCGTTGAAAGAACCTCCTTCGCCTCGTGCTCCTCCATCACGTCGTCATCCTCCGGCAGGTAGGTCTCAGCAATCTCATCGTCACCTTCTCCAGGATGTAGCTCTCGCCATAGTTCCTCCATCGCCATCAGCTCATCATCATCAGGCTCCTCTTCCTCAGCCTGAAGACTCATCACCGCACTTGCCTTTGACGTCAAGGGAGTTTTGGTGCGATCAACACCCACATCCTTGGCCAGCAGCTTCATCTCATGTTTCCTACACCAACCCTTCACATCTCTCACCAAGATGGACCCTTGGGTAAAAGCCAACATGGCCTTGATGTCCGTCTCCGAGATGTTCAAGGAGTTGATCAGAAGGAAGCCCAAGTATTTCTCCGGCAAGTCCACGTTGTGCTCCTGGATTTTGCGGACCGCGTCATCGAACTTGTTGAAGAAGGAGCGACAGCCCTCGTCTCGTTGACGTTTCAAATGATACGTCAATTTCGCCAGAGCTGCTAGGAGCTCCTCCTCCCTGTCCTCACCGAAGAGCTCCGGTGTGTCCATCGCGTCCAGCAGCTTCTTGCCGTTCTTGTCATCGTTCAACCATCGTTGATCTCTGGCGTAATGCTTCAGCGATTGGAAGGGCTGACCAGACAATCTCTGAAGAATCATCGGGCCTTGGGAGCATGGTTTTGCCCTTGTAGTCGCCAACCACAATCTCGCCTTGATCAACCAGTCCTGAAAGGAGATCGAGGTACCGTCCCACTCTGGTGGCGGTGGTCCGGTCCCCGACCCCCTGTTTTGGCCAGCAGAACTTCTATCTCCGTCACTCCCGTCCTCCAGCTCCGGTCGTCGACTTCGACGCGTTGCCGTCCTTGAACGGGTCTTCCTTTGTGCTAGCCATTCACGAAACTCATCACTGTTGAAGCCATCACCATCATCGGTCGGCGACAGCTTCGCACCTTCATCCCTAGGTTCACCTTCAGGATCACCATCCAACGAGCCATGCGACGATGGCACATTCTGCATTGCGCTACCGCTATATTTCACACAACTGAGCAGGTCCTACAGGATCTACCAGCTCCGCCTACCACTGTAGTTGGCAAAGCACCAGCGCATCCTTTTCTGCGCACACAAACCCCAAGGCCCGAGTCGAGCCAGCACAGCTCCGGTAGAACACATCTACCAAATGTAATGGAAATGATTCCAGGTCGGTCGCCTCAGAATTCACATAGATATATTCCATATCTTTCCCCATCACTGGTGAAATCGTAGCTGGTGAATTTTTAAAGCTGTTTACGTTCACTCCACTTAGACTAACCACTGGTAAATTTTAACATAATTAGCTATTGAAAATGATCATAGAAAAATTGTCATTTATGGTTGATTTACCCAATGAAAATGGTGCTTTTCAATAGCAAACTGTAGCAAATTACCAGAGGGTAACCGACCCACCGGGATAACCATAAACCCACCAGGTCGAGCCGGCCTCGCCCGTTTCTCCCACCTCGCCCAATGAGAAGAGAGCCTTTAAGGCGGGCGGAGACGGCGAAGTGCCAGGATCGTAGCTGGAGCTATCTTATCTGACCTTAATATATAGTAATAATAACGCTAATTAGTGATGATAGTAATAGTAATAGTAATAGTAATAGTAATAGTAATAGCATTAGTAATAACAGCAACATCTTATTTTATCTTATATTATCCTATCCTATCTTATCTGATCTTAATATGTAATCAAATATTCTATATTGTGGGTGAGACAATGCCATAAACCAGCCATTTGGGAATGGTAACCATACAACCTATTTTATCGTGATCTGGGGGATGGTTTATTATTAATTTACCCACATTGATAATAGTCATGTTATCTCAACAATGATATTCTTTATCATTATCATAATCTTAATCTAATTAATCTGGTCTTGATTTAATCAAATAAAATCAAAGCCATCTATCGCATCTCAATCTTAATCTCAACCTTAACCTTGGTCTTAATCTTTATCTGTCTTATCTTATCTTATCTTTTCTTATCTGGTCGCATCTCACCTTATCTTATCTTATCTTACCTTATCTTTATCTAACTTAATCTAACTCAATCTGATCTAATCAAATCAATGTATCTACTATCGCATCTTAATCTTATCTGATCTAATTTCATATTGTTCGATATTGAATCTACATTTTCACACCCATGTTTTGTTGATATCTTGCACACCTCTCAAGTGGTGCAGCAAAAAATGGCCACTAAGAGATGGTGGTAACAGAGAGTTTTTTTTTTCCATCCCCGTGAACAACCAATGCGGGTTGGTCGGTTAGCCGATTGGTTTCTTAATTTTTGGTGAACCTCCAATTTGGCTATGAATCAATACCTATTAATACCATTTTTAGAGGGTTATTCACATCCATAAATCCCAGCTATTTTGATGTTCACCAGGGGTACCAGGGTTTTGACCCACTGCCATTTCATCGATTTTCCAGCTATTTTGATGCTGTCATTTTACTGTATGTAAGTCTCCCATTTATTGATGTCCTTTTGGTAAAAATAGGTTTGGTCCGGTTTGGTATACCATCTATCATCATTTATCTACTGGTTGTTAAGGGTTGACCCTTAAACCCCTCTATTAATCAACCAACCAATCTCTCCATGAACCAACCAATTGATCAAACAACCAACCAACCCCTCTACTTAATAGATTAAACAAGTATAGCTCTCATTAAACCTCTATTTCATCAGTCACAAAAAGATCAGCTTCAATCAATCTATAAAGTCTCCATAATTCGATCTTTATTAAACCCCTCTATGGCTATGAATCAATACCTATAGATACATTTTTAGTGGGATGAACATCCATAAATCCCAGCTATTTTGGGGTTCACTAGGTACCAGGGTTTTGACCCATCCCCTCTATAAAAACCTCGTTTTGTTTCCAGGAGGCGTTGCCCGCGGAGTGGAAAGAGCAGAGCCTCTACCGCCGCGAATTCGCCGTCCTGCGATGGATTCAGAGGAGATGGATTCGAGGGTTGGCAGCCTACAGCCTGGTTTAGGTGGTTTTATCATGTTTAATGATGGTTCTACCCTCTGGTTATTTAACATAGCCATGGTATAGATGGCCCATTAATGGTGTTTAATAATGGTTAATGATGGTTATATAATGGTTATATAATGATGATATAATGGTGAATAATGGTGAATAATGGTGAATAATGGTGTTTAATAATGGTTAATGATGTTTAATGATGGTTATATAATGGTTATATAATGATGATATAATGGTGAATAATGGTGAATAATGGTGTTTAATAATGGTTAATGATGTTTAATGATGGTGAAAAACTTGGTTAATAATGGTGAATATCTGGTTGGTGGTTTGGAACTATGGAATTTTACGACTTTCCATATATTGGGAATTTCATCATCCCAACTGACTTTCATATTTTTCAGAGGGGTAGGTTGAAACCACCAACCAGCAGCTGTTTTGGGGGATTTTGACCATGAAAACCAGGGATTTGACCTGTTTTAGGGGATTTGACGACCAACAGTTTGCTATTGAAAATGGAGATTTTGATCATCATTTATAGCTGAATTGGCAATTTTTCACATGTTGATTTTCCAGTTCGCAAAGTGTTAGATTACCAGAGGCTAAACATGTGGATTTTGACCATTGAAACTAGGGATGTCCAGCGGGGTGTTTCACCAATTACCCTCTGGTTATGTCAACAGTTTGCTATTGAAAATGGCCAGTGATAGTGAGTTTTCCCATGAAAAATGGTGATTTTCCATAGCTATGTTAGTTTACCAGAGGGTAATAGCGGAATTCTTTGTCTGAAAATGGCGCAAAAACCACCCCAAGATGGCCATGTGAAGGGCGGCAAAAAACATATGACAAACACGAGTGGATTTTTTCGCGATGCCTGACTGACAAAGCACATGGGAATTGTGAAACCTTTGGAACATGGGAAAATACCCTCTGGTAGTTTAACGTAGCTATGGAAAATCACCATGTTTGCTGGGAAAACTCACTATAAATGGCCATTTTCAATAGCTATGTTAGTTTACCAGAGGGTAATGATTGAGACATGTACAGTAGTAGTTGAGAGAAATTACTTGCGACACCTCTTTTGATAGGAAAAACATCCATCATGGTCATGTTGAGTAGAAAATTCATTCATTTTTTCAGACACTCTCCAAAATTAAGAAGATGGACCTTGTTGGGATGACATCGCCTGACTTCTTGTGACCGGTGTATCACCAGTCAATGCCAGGATCAGAATTCATTCTTAATATTGGCCTCTTCCTAAGCTTCAGTATTTACTGGCATCGTAGGTGGGTGGGTAACCTAAATTCAATCCCAATTCTGTAGATGATCAAATCTATTCAATATCCATGTTCGATGGTTTAGTGCAATTTTTGGTGGTTTGATGCCAGAATTTTGATAATTATATATCTCAAGGTTGGACCATGTTACACCTATATGTTCGAGTCTTGCCAACCCCTACCCTTTGAAACAGCGCACCTCTCCATGAATTTTCTTCCGATCACGCCTAGCAGAGAGGACCATTCCTAGACGCCCCATGCGGCTCGGTTCGCACAGGAAAACACCCAATACCCTCTGGTAAACATACAAAAAGCTATTGAAAATGGTGATTTATAGTGGATTTTCCCATTAAAAATGGTGATTTTCCATAGTTATGTTAGTTTACCAGAGGGTAAATACCATTGATATCCTATGAATCTCCCATGAACATAGCCTGTTCATATCCCATTTTATCATATTTTATCACTTTGTTGTTGGTTGAAAAACCATAGTTCAATGGGAATTTTCATGGATGTTTATATATGCGGAATCACTATGGTCAACATGTGGAGGTTTCCTAAAATCAGGGGATTGATGCCTAAGAAGTGCAATTGAAGAATTGGAATGCAGGGAAATCATTTTTTTGGACGATCATTTTCTGCATGAGACTTTCAACAGGCCGTGATGGAAGACAATGAAATTCGCGCTTGAAATTCTCTGCAACCAATAACAAGTCAGGTTTGATACTTGCAATATCTTGCAATGACAATGAGATTTTGTGGGCCCACTTGGCTTATTCTCTGGTAAACATACAAAAAACTATGGAAAATCACCACTTTTCAATGGACAAATCCACTATTTCGACTGGGTCATTTTCAATGTCGCAATCTATTGCTATGGCCCCTGTTTTGTGTGCCTGAATCCATCGGCGTCTGGTCCTCTCTATGGTTGGCATCCCGGAGGTTTGTGAAATTGGCGTTTTTCCCTCTGGCAAACATACAAAAAGCTATTGAACATGGCCGTTTATATACAGTTGATTTACCCTGTTAAAACATGGTGATTTTCCATAGTTTTTTGTATGTTTACCAGAGGGTACCCCGATTTGACTGGGATCTTTTAAAGAGACCCCCGAAATGGTGAATGGGATGGTTTATGGTGGTTTCCTGAGTCTTGGTTCCGATGCTCATCAATCCAATTTTGGGAATGTTGTATTCGTACACATCGATGCATCATTATCTTAGTCCAAAAAATGGGTGTCACCTAAAGTTGCAATTTTCAAAGGGAGAATTCGTTGTGTAAACCGTTGGGAATTTTATGGGCGCCTTTGTTTTGCCCCAATTTTCCCCATATCTCCCACGCACCAACAGCGCGAGTTTATGGTTTGATCCATTCAGCTGCAACCAGACGAGGTTGCCGGTGGCCTTGTTCATTCATCACTTTGCTTCAGAGGCGATGAGGATAGAAATCGAAACTACCCTCTGGTAAACGTTTACAGTTTGATATTGAAAATGGCCCAGTCGAAATAGTTGATTTACCCAGCTTTAAAATGGTGATTTTCCATAGTTTTTTGTATGTTTACCAGAGGGTAATTATTTCGAAGTTTTGGACAGGACTCAATGTAGCGTTCAGGGATGATCCCAGTCGATGATTGAATCTTTTCAATGGGAATTTCAGGATCCATTTTATGGAGCTACGTAAACGTACCATTTTTTTTTGGGCCATATGTGGGGATATTCCCTGAAATTTCGGCCTGAAATATAGGCCAAACATATATGGTACCCTCTGGTAAACTAACATAACTATGGAAAATCACCATTTTCAATGGGTAAATCCACTATAAATGGCAATTTTCAATAGCTATGTTAGTCACTACCAGAGGGTAGGTACCTCCAAGTTTCATCGGTTCCTGAAATTCTCATGGATATGGGGATTGGACACCACCAACAGGGATTCGGCGGGGCGGAATCTTGGGATTCCGCTCTGAAATGATCACAACAGGTCGTTGAATGACACAAAACGGGATTGACATTGCTAGTCACTGGGATAATTCACTGGGATATCAATTTGATATGAAAATTCACATGAGAATCAAAATTCATCACTGGCTCGACAGTCTGGAGATTTAGAAATTCATCTGGGAAATGTATGATCATCCACTGGAATTGGGGAAATTTATTCGACAATTTCCTACGTATCTATTGTTATATACACATATGATATGCATATAAATTATATATATATATGGTGACGGACAATCACTTCGAACATCATTTGGAAAAAAGCAAAAAAGTATGACGGGAGAGCTGGAATTAGAACATATCAAAAACCTTCACACTTAGAACATCCCAATACAGTACAACATATATACACATTTATTGAAATAATAATATCTGAGTATCTTCCAGGTGTGGGGTCGCTGCATGGAATCCCGTTGATTCAGATGGAATCCAGTTTTTGATGATAACAAGCCTTTAATCATACTTTCAGCAGTGGCTACTTTGGAACTGTAAGGCTTCTGTGCGTAAACCTTTCTCTGTGTAAATGTTTCTCTGTGTAAGGGCTTCTCTGTGTGAAAGTTTGCTGTGCGTAAAAGTTTCTGTGTGTAAAAGCTTCTGTGTGTAAAAGCTTCTCTGTGTAAAAGCCTGCTGTGCGTAAACGTTTCTGTGCGTAAAAGTTTCTGTGTGCAAAAGCTTCTCTGCGTAGAAGCTTCTCTGTGTAAAAGCCTGCTGTGTGTAAAAGTTTCTGTGTGTTAAAACCTCTCTGTGTAAAGGCTTCTCTGTGTAAAAGCTTCTGTGTGTAACAGCTTCTGTGTGTAAAAGCTTCTCTCTGTAAAGCTTGCTGTGTGTAAAAGCTTGCTGTGTAAAGTACCCTGTTGCGAGCTGCTTGGGCAGTACTTTGTGCAAGCTTTCTAGTACAAAGCAGACTGGGGAGTACTTTGTGCAACCTCAAGGTTGCACGAAGTAGTGCTGGGCAGTACTTTGTGACAGTCTTGTCGTACAAAGTACTACTAGGTGGGAAGTGCACTGGTTTTGGGCCAGAGAAGAGCTGAAATGCTCTGAGAGTGCGCTGAGCAAGCTGAGATCAGCTGAAAAGATGTGAGAAAAGCTTAGAACTTGTGAGCAGAGGGGAAACGAGATGAGAAGACATAAGATGAGCTGACATGAGCTGCGGAGAGCCGAGAAGAATTGAGAAGAGCTGTGAAAATCTAAGAAAAGCTTTGATAAGCTGTGACAACCTGATAGGACAAGAATGGTGAAGAGCTGAGAAGAGCTGAGTTGAGACGAGCTGCGTAGAATGGAGAAGCTGAGAAGAGCTAAGAAGAGAAGAGTTCAGATGTGCTGAGAAGAGATGAGAAAAAAGATCAGGTGACATGAGAAGAGATGAGACCAGTTGTGATCAGCTGAGGGATGAGAAAAGAGAGAAGACATGAGATGGGCTGAGATGAGATGAGGTGAAAAAGGCTGAGAAGACATGAGATGAGATGAATTGAGCAATGAGCAATTTCCAGGAGAAGCTGCGATGCGATGAGATCAGATGAGAAAAGATCCAACAATATCCAACATTCAAAAGACATGGCATCAGATTGACAAGTCGAGAGCTTGTTGCTGCGCAGCACAGAAAGCCTGGCAGCAACCTATAGGCACAGTCGTTGTTCCGCTCTATAGCCTATAGGCGTTTCAATTTTGAAACTTCCGCCCTCGGCTTGCCCGGGAACTACTTGTATTTATATTTGTTTATTATTTTCCAAAACAAACAGATAAATTAAGTCCCTTACAGCATACATAATGCGATGTTCTATGTGTGAGGCGTTGCCCATGGTCCCGTGGTAGCATTTCAAAGGATTTCAAGGGGATTCACTCAGTAGAGCTGACCATGGACAGCAAAAAGTAATGTTTAACGAGCTGTTCCTTAAGTGATTATGTGTTGGGAGCCAGGGTTAGGTGCTAGAGCCTCACGCTTAGAACATCATGGATCAAAAATCAACCTATGTATCTATGTATAGGATGTTCTAACTGGGATGTTCTAAATATGACAGGTGACCTATGTTCAAAATGTGAGGGTACCAAAAAATTGGAAACATGTTCTAAGTGATTGTCCGTCACTGTACATATATATATATACATATCTGTATCTAAATTAAACCTATATCTAAATATATATGTGTATGTATGTAATGTAATGTAATGTAATGTAATGTAATGTAATGTAATGTAATGTAATGTAATGTAATGTAATGTAATGTATGTATGTATATGTGTATATGTGTATATCTAAATGTCTATATATCGATATATCTATATACCTCTATATCGCTATATCCCTAAATCTCTGTATCTCTAAATCTCTATATCTCTAAATGCCTATATCTCTATATCTCTATATATCTATATCTATCTCTATCTCTATCTATCTGTCTATCCAACTATCTATCTATCTATCTACCTATCTACCTACCTACCTACCAACCTACCTACCTACCTACCTATATATATATATATGTATATATATATATATATGTATATATATATACAGATATTTATCTACACACATACACATACACTCTAGGTTTTGCACCCGTTGCAGCCCGAACTGGCGCGCCTTCGCCGCTTCTGCGGCGCAGGCGATCCTGATTCCTTTCGTGGGAGTGCTCCTGGGCGCAATTTCAGCCGTGCAAAGGGGGGTTTTGTTTACTGTGCAGACTCTGTGTGGATAATATGGAAACATATGATGTGTACAATAGTGGAATACCTGGACAATAATGGTATCATAATGGTAATCGCATGTTCTTTTTCCAACCATTAATGGGCTGACTATTATAACCATATTAATTTGGTATCATATATGGTAAAGTAGTGGAACAATAATGGGATAATAATGGAATAATACTGGAACATTTTGAACCCTATGATGGATTTAACCCCCCTATAACTAACAACAATAGGGATATATATTGGGATATTAATCGGTTATTAATTAATGGTAAAACATAGAAACACCACCGAACGGAGGTTTCGCAAGTCATGGAAGTACCCGCAAATCATCCAAATCATTAAACTATGATTTGGTATTAAAACCCATAGTGATTGGGGGTACCCCTATTTTAGGAAACCTCCGTATTGCACAAGTATTCAGATTAAATATGTTAGTGCATATGTATATATATATACATATACATGCATAAAACACTATATATATACAGGGTCACACCTGTTCTTCTCCCGAGAAGATATGGTTTGATTTGTTGGTCAGCTGATCAAGAGCCATATTTACTGTAATATACAGGTTTTGGTCATCACGTCAATCCAAGGTTCATTGTAATGACATGTTCGCTCGCGGATTACGGGCTGCGGAAGTCCGTAGTAAGTTGATTGATTTCTGCTAGAAATATCTGAAACGTATTCTGGATTTTTATGTTCTCCAGGGTGGAGTTACCATGTTCATAGGATGTTCATGTCATTCCGAGGTTGTATGAACTATCAAAACTGTTGAGTTCATTGTCATTGTCAGAAACATGGACGTTCTGAATTAGTCGGCACTTCAAACCTTTTCTCAGTGCCAGAGCACCTTGTTGAACACATCCCTTGGTTTCAACGCTCCATTGAACGTTATGACCCCACCTCACCCCACCCAAAGCCCGCTGGAAGGACACAAACCTCCGGGTTCCAGAGAACCAAGAGGTTTGATCCTATAAAATATACACACATAAATACATAGATATCTATATTCATATTTAAATATAAAACGATATATATATATATATATGGATGCATACATTTACACATTTACATACAATGAACCAAGAGTGGAGATACCGCCGAAAACGTATGCTATAGCTGCTATAAGGTGCGATGTACAAGCAGTAAACATGGGCAGTGGGATCAAACATATTTTGACCTCCATAAGTCTCCACAACCCTACCAGATGCAAAATCAGCCAACCACTTCACGAGTCATGATTGCATCAGCACTCCCATAGTCATCCTACCCCATCGACAGAAAGGATTTCAGTTGTCGGGGACTCAATGGGTCATTGTTTGTTGCTCCTGCGGGAATAGAATACCCAGCTTAAAATGAACCTTTGCAAGGTCTCCAAAATTTGCCGTGGATATTCATCGAAGGAAGTTTAGAAGTCAAACTTCCGACAATATGGACAGATGAAAAGCAGAGCAGGGCAGAGGCAGAGAGAAGAGAAAGATTAGAAGAGAGAAGAGTAGAAGAGAAAGAGTCAGAAGAAAGAAGATGCAGATGCGCGAAAAGGTAGGAAAGTCGCGAAACACTGTGTTTTTCCAATGATTTGTGGCTCCGGGGGTCGAAAAGAAGGCTCGCTAAAGCGGCGGGTGCGGAGCCAGCTGCCCAGATGAGAGATGAAAAATTGCACGCGGCTGTGGCGCGAAGCGCATTTCCAAGTCAAAATGTACAAAAGACTTCAGCTCCGGACCACTTTTGGAAGTTGAGATGTCGAAAAAGTGCACGCCGTTGTGGCGCGAAGCACATTTCCAAGTCAAAATGTACAAAACGCACCAGGTTCGGACACTTTTGGAAGTTGAGATGTCGAAAAAGTGCACGCCGTTGTGGCGCGAAGCACATTTCCAAGTCAAAATGTACAAAACACACCAGATTCGGACCACTTTTGAAAGTTGAGATGTCGAAAAAGTGCACGCCGTTGTGGCGCGAAGCACATTTCGAAGTCAAAATGTTAAAGACACTAGGGGTTCGGACCACTTTTGAAGGTTCAGATGTGCTTCCGCGTGGCAGGCGCAAGGGATTCTGCCCCTTCTCAAAAGTGAGCACCTCACGTTTTGTAAGCATTTTCAACTACAACCACAACTACACCACACTACACTACACTACAACTACAACTACACCTTCACTACATTCCACTACACTACACTCCACTACACTCAATTACATTCAATTACACTACACTACATTACACTACACTACGCTACGCTACGCTACACTACACTACACTACACTAACTACAACTACAACTACAACTACAACTGCAACTGCAACTGCAACTACAACTACAATCAACAACAATGCTACATTTACACTACGCCACACTACACTACACTAATTACACTACACTACGCTAGACTCCACTACACTACACTACACTGAATGACACTGCACCACAGATAGACAGGTAGATAGATAGACAGACAGACAGATAGATAGATAGACAGATAGACAGGTAGACAGATAGACAGGTAGACAGGTAGACAGATAGATAGATAGATAGATAGATAGACAGATAGACAGGTAGACAGATAGACAGATGAAAGAGAGAGATCGATAGATAGATACATAGATATATAGATAGATAGATAGAAAGATAGAGAGATAGACAGACAGACAGAGAGATAGATAGATAGATAGATAGATAGAGATAGATAGATAGAAAGATAGATAGATAGATAGATAGATAGATAGATAGATAGAAAGATAGGCAAGATAGATAGATAGATAGATAGATAGATAGATAGATAGATAGATAGATAGATAGATAGATAGATAGATAGAAGGATAGATAGTTAGATAGATAGATAGATTAGATTAGATTAGATTAGATTAGATAGATAGATACATAGATAGATAGCTAGGTAGGTAGGTAGGTAGGTAGATAGTCAGAGAAAGACAGAGAAAGAGAGGAGACCTGAAGCACCTTTCGGTCCATCAGTGGATTCGCTCTGCCATCCGTGATTCACAACAACCAATCTCTCCTATAGGTTTCCTATTTTTGGACCTTCCGCCGCCGCCTTGTGCGGTACTACTGGTAAGATATGGAAGCACATAGGAACAGTGCAGGCATATGCCAAGTACAGAGGATATGTATCAAGACAGGCCTAGGAACCCAATTGAACCCTGACTCTTACGGAGCAGCTTCAAAAGAATGGTCACCAACTGGGGAGAATTTGATATTATCCGGGGAAAGGACTAATCCAATATCATCCAGTATTAAAATTCCTCAAAATCCCAGTGATGTACGTTTTTGATGATGCTTTGATTACTATAACTATAACCTTTGATTACATATCACCATTGATAAACCTCTACTGCAAGATTATATCGGCGAAAAAAAATCCCTCGAACCACCTTCAACCACCTTCAAAAATGGTAAAACACCCAGTTTCAGTGGATACATCCCATTCAATTCGGCACATTCTTGTAGAAAATCCCATTAAAGTACCTCCCAGGCGCAGCCTTCCAGGTACCATTCACCACGTTTACCGAGGTTCACCTGGGTCGTATCTCTGCCAGCAGCCGGGTCGACGACCAGCTGCATGTGCTTCTGTGTACCATGGCGGGATGGGGGTCTATCCTGTGGTACCCTCTGGTTATGTCAAAATAGCTATTGAACATGGCCATTGAAATAGTGAGTTTTCCCATTAATAGCATGGTGATTTTCCATAGTTTTTTGTATGTTTACCAGAGGGTACACAGTGAGAATCATCCCAAGTGTGGTTGAGAGTTGTGTTTCGAAATCGTCGTTGAGGAAAATTGGGTGTTCAGAATATGTCTGAAAAGCGACACATTTTGAATAAGAAATATGGTGAACCCCAGGTAAACTCTAACTAGGTTTCTTAATCCAGCATGCCCCTATGTATTTCATCCTACGGTAACAAAAACAGCATCTGTTTGTGGGACAAGCAAATCCTAGACTCTAGCTTCGATGACTACACCACCAATATTTTAAGAGCTTTGTCACCTTTCTAGTATCTGCCGTCTGTGCTGGTAGATGTGCAAAAGTGGAATGGTTCCAGGTATTCAGATCCTACTTGTACGGTATCTGAACCTGCAACGTCAAACAACGTAACAATGAAAAAGGGTTGAAACAAACGTACCCGTTTCAAGAGTTTGTTCGTTCATCTAGTTGCTGGGCTTGCACATTTTGACATACCATCAGTTGATTATATATACGTGTATATATATATATACACAGATAGTGTATACATATATATATATATTATACAGTATGTACATATTATGATGTACTGTATGTCTCAAAAATTGGGCATCCCTAAGCACCCCATGTTTTTCCAATTGGAAACGGCCAAATCGATTGGGGCATTTTTTTGGAGAAATTTTTCAGGGCCCAGGAGACCACCGCCACTTTTCGATCAGCACTTGGGCTATGACTTTTTTAGAATTTGAAACCTCTTAGACCCCTCTTAGATAATGGTTGGTTGGTTGTTTGATCAATGGGTTCTGAGAGCTATACTTGATCAATCTATTAAGTAGAGGGATTGGTTGGTTGTTTGATCAATTCACTAGTGATAAATGGGTATGGGTCAATACCTATAGATACATTTTTAGTGGGATGAACATCCATAAATCCCAGCTATTTTGATGTGAACAAAAAAGGGGTACAAGGTTTTGACACACTGCCAAATTGAAACCTCTATCTTCACTATAACAATGTGAAAATATATGAAACCTCTTACTTCACTGCTTGCTTTTTGTGTCACTAGTGCGGCCCCTCAGTGAGTCCAAATCATGGTTTCCGATGATTTGGAAGCGAGCGCGTTGTGTCGTGTTTTAAGCGGGCCGCTCAGGTATCATTGAACTTCGGATTGAAGCAACTCGGAATCATTGGGCAGTAGCCTTCTTTAAAGTCCCACACTACTTGTAGCCCAATTTTTTCGATGAGACCCTTTGAAAGTTGTGTCCGGAGGAGTTTTCAAAGCACCAATTGATCAGCCATCTTTGTACCAGGATTTTGATCCAGTCAATGCCGGGTTTTTTGGCATTGCTGTTACTATAGTCTTTTTCTGGAGATTCCGATCAGCTCAAGTTTGGAGAAGCACCAGTACCAAGCAAGTTTGAAGGATTTATTTTTGCTAATCAACCATGGTAGGTCTAAGAATTTTAGTGGAGTGGTTCCACTTGCTTGAATTCCAGGTAACAAAAACGATTGTCTTTGGTGATGTCATGGTTGCCATGTAGCAAAAAGGACTCATCTCAGGAATCGTAAGTGGTTACCCATATAGAATATCAGAGAATTTATTTGTTGTTGTTGGTTCTCCCATTCCTTTCCGGGTGATTTATAGCTGGGTAGATTTAAGCCCTAGCTGAACCCTCACCAGTCGAAACAAAACGGCCAGGTGGATCTGGCAAAGGCCCAGGCCCCTGTGGCTAGACATGGGGAAAGTCTCAGAGGTTTGGATCCTTGGATGCATCGAAACTCATGGGGACAATTCATGGGGATAGTAATGGATATTCATAGATTTAATGGGGTTTTCATGTTTTTTCTAATTTTTTTTTTTTTTTCAGCAGCTTATGAATGCTTGGATGTGCATTTGTCTGAATGATCATGGCTTTTTCGCCATAAACTGGGATAAGAACGGGATTAAATTGGGATATTCATTGGGAGAATCATCTACAATAGTGATTCATCTGGACAAAAACATTGTTTTTGGATGTTTTTGGGTCATTTATATACCTTCTGGGAATTGAACATAGCTATTGAACATGGCCCATTAAATTTGATTATTTGCCAATTAAAAATGGTGATTTTCCGGTTCGCAAACGGCTAAATTATCAGAGAGTACTATCATTTTCCGCATGATATCTCATTATATTGCCATTATACAACTTTTTTAATTTTGACGGTAGAATTCCCATATTCCCATGATACCACCATTTTTGCTGGTAAAATCCACTATTTTGCCAACAATATCAATGCCAAAGCGCACAATACGCAGCAGGATGAATTTTGCAAATTGATCCTCAGAATGACATTTTTACTCAAGCTCATTTTTGTGCACTTCAGAATGGTTGTTCTCAACCAGCGAAACACTCTACCTTGTGTTACCCACCATTGGACTTGGAATCTCAATTTGCGCAACACGCAAGCTCCTGTGTTTGTCCAAACCTTAATGCCATTCAGCATAACACGCAGCATAGGCAAAACCCATCGTTGTGATTACCCACATTGACAATCGCAATCAGCACAAAACGCAGAATCCTTTTTTTTCAACATCACAACATACACGGTCACCATGACAATCCTAATTGGAATTTTCATCATGTTGACTACCGGAATCAGCATAGCACGCAGAATTCTGTGCTCTTCACAAATTTAAAATCTGATTCAAAATAAGACAGGAGAACCTTATTTTTTCGACGTTTGGAACAACAATCTTAGTCACCTCGAGATGCAAAAATCCTACCTTCTCCATCCTGGGATTGAGCATTAGATGCAGCTTCTTGAGTTATTCACCTTCATATGATTCACGTTGACATAAACCAACATGATTCAACATGAAACCAACATGGCAGAATCTTGTGTTATGGACCTTCAGAATCATAAGGTGACTTAGTGATCAATTCCTGCCCAAACATGATCCCGTGGCACCGAGGAATATCGGTGCTGTTTGGGAAGCTGCCAGGAACTCAGGGCGAAAAAAATAGGCTGCGCACCACGATGTGATTTTGACGACGCAAGAAGCAGGAACTACCTTTTTTTTAATGGTAACAGGTGGGAAGATGTGAACTTGGGAACATTTGGGAAAGTATGGAAACACTTGCGAAATATGTTGGAAGGGTACAATCTTTTTAATGGGAACATGTTGGAAATCGTGTATATCTATATATATATAAATAAGCTATCAATACATGGAGGAACTTCTATGGCCTTCAGTCGTTCAGGACTTGACTTTTTATGACTTTTTAACCGTTATGCCATCCCCTAATATCCATCCAAACGGAAACATGGGATGAAGGGGCCAGAAGTTCATTTATGGCCATAGTCCCCATAAATAGCAAAATCAAACGATGAACCAATGGTTGTCTATCCATGTAAATTTTATTTCCCCAGGTAATAGGATGAACCTTGTCTATCCAAATGGATGAACCAATATTAATAGTAATGATGATGGATATTAATAGCCATGGTTCATCCTATTAATGATGATATCCATGTAAATTTCCCCAGGTCATAGGATGAACCTTGATGGTTAAATCCATGGTAAAAAATCCATGTAAATTTCCCCAGGTGATATGCTTTGTAGATCCCCAGGTCATCCAAGGCTTTGTAGAGAGCCGTGTCCCAGTCATGGATGGTTTCATATGTCTACGAACTTCCGAGAGAATAAAGTGGGACCTCGGGACCTCCAACAGTTGTGGAAAGATTTCTGGATTTTTCCAGTATTTGTAGATTATTTGGTTTAAGGGAAAATCTGAACCGGAAACCATGGAATTTCCCATCAAATATGGTGTTTTCCTGTAAATTTTCCCAACAAAACCAATCCATTGAGTATTTGTAGATGATTTTCCGTGGGTATCCCCATGGGTCAATGGGTTTGCCAATTTTGTAACTGGTTCTGATGGTCGCAAAGGGTCGCAAAGGGCTTGCGATGGCTACTGGAATTGGTCGCCCAAACTCAGGATTATTCCTTCCCCAGTGGCCACTCTCAAAGTTTGGCAGGCGCGAAAATGGTGGATTTACCCCAAGAAATTGCAAAAACATGCTGTTAATCATCACAACTTGCTGTTTTCCTAGTACTTTCAGACAACATCACATTCTGAGGATATGGCTGCAGCCATATGCAGCTGGAGTTGTGTGTTTTTTTCTCATACCATGACCGACTTGATGAGTTCTCTGAGTTCAGAATCCTCCGAGCCTCGTTCTCAGACCTGCTATTGGTACCCCCCAAAGCTGCAATTCGAACTGACAACAGGACGATGTTGTTACCTTCCGCCGTCATGACAACGGGGCGCAATGGGAAATCTTATGGAGGTTTGAGCTGGAAAATTCATGAATTTTCTTAGTGGATTTTCCAGGAAACCATGTCTGATGGAGGGTAACCAATGGATCTTGCGGGACCTTCTTTTCAGACGTCCTCCCCAAATGCGAATCCCTAAATTGGATGGTGTAGGATTTTTTCCAATGATCTAAGTAGACGCCCATACTTTTTCATTGGGATGACACATTGGTGTGATGGGTTCGACACTTTCGGACATCATCGAATCTGGTTGAACATCCAATGGCAGAAGTAATATGGAGATGAAGTTTTCCAGTGTGTCTGAAAACGGGGCGTACCTACTCAGGGCCGGTGTTTTTTTTAATGCTTTTTTTTTTATGGGGAAAGTGATGATCAACTACGGGATTTTGGAGGGTTGCCATCCGTCATTTTTCAGACCATGCCTGCGGAAGATCTCCAGTTGGGTCAACTTGTTGAGCTGCTACGTCTCGAACATCGGAATCGCAAGTGGTTTTGTCATATTCCGTCATATCAAACTTCCAATATAAACATCTGGCTGGTGGTTTGGAAGATTTGGATTATTTTCCATTTCATATATGGGATGTCATCCGAAACCCATTGACGAACTCCATCATTTTTCAGAGGGGTAGGTATACCACCAACCAGACATATATAAAGCATAGAACAAGAGATTCATTTCCCTCAATCTACGGTCAGTGAACGAATTGTTTTTTTTTAGCCGCCGCATATAGGAGAAATTTGGGATGGACTCAACTGAGGTGGTTATCGTGGAAGTTATTGCCATCAACTGATGAACCCATGACCGTTTTGGCGCTATTTTTGTAATTCCACATTGGCTGATCAGTAAAATCTTGAAGTCTATGCTGGTTGGTGGTTTCAAACATTTTTATTTTCCATAGTATATGGGATAATCCTTCCCATTGACTAACATTATTTTTCAAGATGGTTTTGAAAACCACCACATATATTGAACCGATGTGGAACTTTCACATATATTGAACCTCGCCGATCTTGAACCATCCTTTTTGATCCCCACATTTTCGCGGGGACTTGGAGTATCATCCCCACACTTGGCGATAGCCACAGCTTGGGGAAGTGGCTGATCACGTCCTTGACAGGGACAATCAACTGATAGTGTATTTTTTCCACTTAGAAGTCACTTTGAAGCAAAATTCACCCAGGGTTATCTCATTTTCCCTCACGTGAATTCCACCATGAATCATTTCCTGGGGAAATCAATGCATTTTTGTGGGATTTTTAAGTTCTTGATTCGTCAGGATATTGGTGGTAATCATCCAATTTTTCGCACATTAATGTCAACCCTGGATTAATAAACCCCAAAGGTCTGTTTAATTAGGAAGGTACCATTTAAGTATCAGATTATGACTATTGGAGGAGTACCCCCTAATTAATAAACCATGGACCATGGTTGATTAATCCGGGGTTGACATTGCATGACCACTATTGATATTAAATTCATCATCACCCAGCTATGAGAGACTTCTGATCACCAAATTATTGTCGTCAACCAGGCATAGCTAAGCAATGTGGATGATGTGGATGAGACACAGCAGTATTAGTGTGGACATGATGGTTGTATCTAGGCAAGTGCTAAAGTTCAGGGATTGTTGGAACTTGTGATCCAGATACGTAACAAATTTATTTGATATGTCATTATAAACTAGACACATGAAAGTTTTATTAAAAATGATTGCTACGGGAGCCCCAACATGGTCTTTGGAAGATCGTTTTACTCTTGGATATGGTTATTCCTGCGTTCCGTGTTCAATTTTGGGAAGTGTATATATCTCATATAACCGGCTCCGAAAAGCAATTTAAGCCCTTAGTAAGGCCTTAGTAAGCCCTAAGTCATCCGTTCTATGAAAATAACCGCCATGAACTAGTTCGATATCTACCACGAAGCCAACCATTAGCCTAGTATAAATGGAGTTCACTGAAAACGCCCTATAATCACTTGACAAGCCATGGTTCATTTATCATGTATTCACCATGATTAAATCATCCCATTTGCAAGCTCAACGCCTTATATAGATGATTTATTTTTCCCGTTAAGTTCCCATTATAATATATAATTATATATACATATAATCCAAGGAATCATCATTTATTCCCCATTAAATATCCATTATTGCTAAATATCCATGAATAATCTCCCATTTTTTACAAAGCGTGCGATCTGTGCGATCACAGGCGTTTTGTTGTGTGCCCACTTCACCTTTCAACTCACCATGCATTGGCTACCAGTGATGCTCTTGCACCTGGGACGGACCAACTGAACGTGGGCAGGAACTCAGCATGGGTTATATAGAACCATGGAAGATGGGTTGAGAATGTGGGATTTACCCTCTGGTAATTTAACATAGCTATTGAAAATGACCATGTGTAGTGGATTTACCTACTATAGATGGTGATTTTCCATAGCTATGTTAAATTCCCAGAGGGTAACGAAGTTACTAGATTTTATGCAACATTTCATTGATACATGTTGAATCCATAGATTGTTGGGAATCATGGCAGGATTTCCTGGCTTTTAGGCTCAAAGTTTTTGAGGCTCAAAGGTACGTTGGGTTGCGAATATGCATGAATCATCATTTGATGATCAGATGTCACTGATGTCACTATGATCCAGCATAGTTGGAGGAAATCAATTTGATGTCCTTTTGGTAAAAATAGAGGGGCCGGTTTGATATACCATCTATCATCAAACAAAGCTGTTAAAGGGGTTTCTTCAAACCCCTCTATTAATCAGGCAACCAATGGGAATTTGGGACATCTATGGAGGACATACCACATAGTTCCATAGGGATGGTGGATTACTCCAGTTTTGAAGCCCATTGCCATATGATGGGATGGATCAAGCCACCTGTGATTGTTTCATCCACAACTACCAGCGAAAACAAGTGGTGCGATCTAAGAAGGTAGGCTTTGATACTTTTCGCCATCTGGGGATGAAACCTGGGGATGAAACCAGCAAGAGCAACATTCGCACATCATGGGAAATACCCTCTGGTTATGTCAAAATAGCTATTGAAAATCGTGATTTATAGTGGATTTTCCCAGCTATCTATGGTGGATCTTTCCATAGCTTTTTGTATGTTTACCAGAGGGTAACCTCGAGTATGAACAATACACAGGGTTCCTGTGGCGAATTCGTTCCACTGGTTCGCTGGGATTCCTGGGATTCGCATGATGGATTAATCCCTTCACCCTAATATGAAACGTTCCCCCCCAAATGATAAAGCATAGGGGGTAGTTTTTATCATTAGGGGGTATGAATATTTGGGGGATAAGCTGGCTCCTAAAATGAAATTAAACACATTAATGAACAAAAGCTAAAATTTCCCCGATTTCAAAATCAATTAAATTAGCTTTTAAAATCTAATTAAATTATATTAAAGTATATTGCCAAAAATTGGATTTCGAAGCTTTCCCCTAATATTTAATTACACACCTTAATAAAAAACAACTGAAAGTTTCGATTTTAATAAACGGACCCTAATAAAAAACACCCTGGGGCAAACTAGTTTCTAGTATTTTTTTGGGGTAGTTCACCTTCAGATGGACCTTGATCAATTAAAAGTCAAATTGACCAATTTGACATTTCCCAAAACAATAATCTGCGGTAGTCTTTATTATTTAGGGGCGGTTTGGTAATAGTAAGAAGGGATTCGAATGATACCAGTTCAACGAGGTAATTCCATACAGCAGTTCATCAGCAAGGCTTTGGCAGCGCTTAACTGAAGATGACAACCAACAGGAGGTTAGAAACTCATCCACGACAATGGACCTACGAAACAACCACGCTGCAGCTCTATTCGGATCACCTGTTTGGACGCTTTGTGAACGACTGGCTGGTGGTACTTCTGATGTTTGGTTCCTATCCGGGTTGACGTTGGGGAAACTTCTAACCCTTTTTCGGTGCCACTCCCAAGTGGCTATTCTGATTTCAAACCTCTCCGGTTTGTGGGTCACATGTCAAAATCCAAGTTTGCTGGTTGAATCCTCATTCTTGGACCAATCGAATCTGCTTGAAATCCCATCAAACAACTTGATCAAATTGCACTTCTCCTGGATTTTTGCAAGGACAGATTTGCACCGCCATGAATTTTGGGGTAAGAACCCACCAGTTTCCTCTGCACCATTTCTCTTAAATCAATCCACTAAATTTCAACATCAACCAAGATGGTTGTTGCCATCATTCCGTAGGCCAGGGCGATGTGTGATTTGGGTTTATCAAAAAATGTAATGACACCCACAGTGATTTGAATAGGACGAATGCAACTTATAGATTCATCTGGTTGGTGGTTTGGAACATTTGGATTATTTTTCCCATATATTGGGAATTTCATCATCCCAACTGACGAACTCATATTTTTCAGAGGGGTAGGTCAACCACCAACCAGTCATTGTTCAATGAGGTTGGAACCAGGGTTACCCATTCATGTTCAATGAGACTAGAGGATCTCAAAATCCAGCGGAGTTTCTCATCATTTTCCCCTTTTTCGTGTACATGAAAACAGCAATAACTCAGGTTTACTCGGCTTTGAGACAAGCTCATTTCCCCAAAATTCGCATACCATAAACCATGTAGGGATGATACTATGGGATTGCAAGGGCCAAAACTACAAGGGAATGGCTCAAATTCTAAGATCCCCTTAGCCATCTCTCATTTTTGGGGTACCCAATGACTTGTCCAAAAAGGGTCTTGTCCATTTGGAAAGACGAGCACCACCATTCATTGGATTACGGGAGAAATTACAGGACAATTACATATTTTTCATGGTAAAACCATGGTTTCCTCTAGATTTTCCCCTAGACCAATGAACCATGACCCACACATGGCGCTTTGATAAGCATCGATCAAGGCTTGGCGCCTTTGTGGGTCTGTCGCGAAATTACCTAGGAGTTCACTGGTGTCAGGGAAGCCCAGAGTTTTTTTTTCCGATTGGCGCCAAATGCGGAGTTTCGACCGAAAAAATCTTCAGATTTTCTGCTTCTAAAATTTCTATGCTGGTAAAGCGATTTTTGAAGAGTGGGCTGCGATGATCTCCGATTCTCGGGTCATCCCAGTGACTTCAGTGGGTCCCGTTCAGTCCTTGACGGGTAGAAATAGGTCACCAGGTCTCATCCGCCAGGCAGTGATACCTTGACGGGATGGCTCATCGGGTCCTTGAGCGGCATTGCCTGGGGCTTGCTCGACCCCTACGCTGCCCTGCTACGTTGGGGGCCGAGAAGGGACAGATGGACCAGATGGGCATACAAGCCTATGCCTATGGATACTATGGTATAGGTGATGTTTTTTCCCCCCTGATTTTTTGAGGTTCCCACCTTTTCTATCTTTTTTGGGAAGTAAGACCCCCTAGATAGCTAACTTGACTTCTGACTTGGTTTATTGGGGTTTATTTGGGATGAACAATAGGTAATAGGCTTAGTAAAGCAAACTTAAAACTAGGGGCCCCAGCTTGTATCGGTGATGTCTTCCCCATCATTTCCAGCTTCCCAACTGTTCCATGTGTCTCGGGGGCTGCTACATATATACAGGCATGGCTAGTTCAGTTTCAGACCCCCTGGGAACCATGGGTTAGGGAGATGATTCCAATCCCCCCTGGCCCCTTCATGTGAGCAGATATGATGTAAAATTATGGGGGAAATGATACTATATTATAGTGATTATCAGTAATAGATGATACTATACTATCGTATACCCTATGGATATATGATCATTATGATGAAAAATAGCATTTGGCGCCAGTTTTCGCCAGTTGGCTCATAAAACAGATGTTTCTATGAGAGATGATCGCTGGCATGACTTCATGAAACGATTTTTTTTCGGGGTTTCCATAAATGGGGGTACCCAAAATGGTTGGTTTATCATGGAAAATCCTATAAAAAAAGGATGCTTTGGGGGTACCCCTTTTTTTCAGGAAATCTCCATATAAACGTATGACAATGTATGACATATGATTGCCTGGGAATGATCCCCATCTTTCGATTCTCAACTTTGAGCAAATGATGATAGCAAGGCAGGAGAATTCGGACAATTTACCTCTTAGCTATCCATTTTTTCCGCTTGTAAAGGTTGGTGACTGAATGGGGACATGCACCCCTTGAAGTGAACAAAATTTGCATGTTCGCTTTACGAGACTGCCTGCCCTCGTCGTGTTATGTTTGGTCGTGCTATCCCTGTGCTTCTTAGTTCATGTCCAATGGTTGTTACATGTCTCTCATTTTCTTATGACGTATTCCGACTTTCGGTTCGGTTTCGCCCTCACTTTTTTCCCGGCTTGCAGCCTCATCAAGGGTTCCAGGAAACCCTAACAAACCCCCAAGAGCAAGTGAGAAACTGGTTCTGTCCAAACATGGATCCCTTAAATTCCAAAGAACTAAAATCCCATTCATCAAGGATTTTCTTTTTATAGCTACTTAGTAGCTACTTTGAAATCTTTTAAATACTCCATGTTTTTTTATTAATGAACATCCATAAATCTGGGTAAATTATAACGACCTCACTGTTCTCCCTCACTGGGAATCATGGTTAGGGGAATTATTCCCAAATGGCCGAACTATTCAGGTTAGTGAAATATTATAATTTACCCAGATACTATGTATATATACAAAATACATATATATATATATGTATAGTTGATTAGAACTGTATCAAGTTGCCTTGCTGGTGGTTAGTAGGTTAAAATCTGAGGACTAGGAGATCCACTGATCTCCACGGTGGTGGGCTTGGGATCAGAACCTTGGACGACCTAGCTGACCAAGATGTTGGATCTGGATATGTGGGATTTTTTATCAAGTAATAGGGATATTAGTTGAAATCACTATTAGATAGTTAGATATCTATAGTGATATTCAATCCCAATGTTGATAATTCATCGGATATAAAAGTTGAAACCCAATCAATGTTTTTTTTTGATATGTCTTCACTGAAACCTGGGATTGAATGTTTTTTTGTTAATCGGAGATTGTTTGGGTTTCATGGGATATTAGTTGAAAATTCATGGGATCAACAAATTGATTTCATGGGATGAAACCGGGACTTCATAGGATCTCGAAAAACACAATCTCCGGAACTAAGTGTTTGACCTTGAGACTAGTCACTAGTCACTTTTTAAAGGGAAGCACTATTTGGCTGGGTCACTATCAGTTGGGGGATACTGTAATAAAAGTTGAAATACTGTTCACACACAGGATGTGGGGATTATGTTGATATAATACGAGAATGAGTTTATGATATGGACATATAGGTAGATTATATATGATTATATTATATAATGTTCAAAGTTACAATCTACAAGTAAGCCAGAGGGGATGTGTCAATCTATTTTGAGTTTCAGCTGTGAATTGGGCGTATTGACAGGTTGTTCTTGATCCCTAGCGATACGGAAGCGATGAAACCAGCCAAGAACAGCTTGGATGTCATATGAACCACACGACCCAGAACAGATACCCTCTGGTTATGTCAAAATAGCTATTGAAAATGGCCATTTATAGTGGATTTTCCCATAAAAAATGGTGATTTACCATAGCTATGCAAGCGGGCAAGAGACAAGGCATTCGTATATCAAGCGGCAATGCCTGCTGTAGACACTACGACTGGTGGGGGTTATATCTCAACTTATGGGGGCAAAAATCCCATGGTCATAACCATCATCTGGCACCCCAAAGATGTCTCCTCAGGGCTGCATGATCCAGTGACCAGCGAAAGGTTTAGAGCCACCGTGCGGGCCAAAAGATGTAACTAACATTAAGAGCAAAACACCAGAAACAATGCAGCTTTGAACAACCCCCATCAAATCCATTCTGGTTGGTGGTTTGGAACATTTGGAACATTTTTTCCATATATTGGGAATTTCATCATCCCAACTAGCGAACTCATATTTTTCAGAGGGGTTGAAACCACCAACCAGGAGATATTGGGACATTTCGGGCAATTTCAAGAGAGGCCCGAGGCGTTGAGTTCCACGAAAACAATGGGGGTGCCTCAGAGACCCAGTGACTCATTAAGAGAAAATTGTTGCAGTACCCTCTGGTTATTTAACATAGCCCTGGGAAATGGCCTATAGAAATACATAGATGGTTTACCTATTAAGAATGGGTGGATCTTTCCATGGCTATGTTAAATAAGCAGATGGTAAATCATATATAATCACCATTAATCACCATTAATCACCATTAATCACTATTTATGTGTTTTGGTGATTGTGTTTTTTATTTTGTGTATGTTGATGGTTTCACCCTGGCAATCTGAGTTCACAGTCAGATGTATATTGGGATGGGTTCGTCAAGGTGCATGGAGACGCATGGGCCGCAGATTCACATTGGAATCTGGTTTGTTCATTCCAATGAATATATGGGGATGGGTCAAAACCCCGGTACCTAGTGAACCCCAAAATAGCTGGTAAATGGATGTTCATCCCACTAAAATATGGTATCTACTGTATAGGTATTGACCCATACCCATATGGGTGTGGGTCAAAACTGATGATACCATATGGAGGTTTCCATACATGGGGAATCCCCAAAATGATTGGTCTATTTCATGGAAAAACCCAATCTAAAATGGATGATAACTAGGGGTACCCCCATGACTTAGGAAACCTCCATATTCCCAGGGCACCAGGGTCAAGCGATCCCTCTGAGGCCTTGGCAGTGATACTACTGGCTGCTGTCTGCGTGATGCTGGTGCCGACAGGGGCCCGGTGTTCCAAGTGGCGAAACCAAAGGTCATCTGTCAACCATCGTCAACATATCAAATTCATGGCCAATTTATAGGTGGTGCCCCATAGTTAGCTAAGTTGGTTTATAACTCCCATTTCACTATGGTTTATGGTAGATATAACTATAGTATTCATGGGGTTTATAGTGGATTTTCCCATTAAAAATTGTGATTTTCCATAGTTTTTTGTTAAATGACCAGAGGGTATCCACATTATGGCATCATGGTTGGTTAAATCGCCACTGTTTAAGTTGGCTGTCCTAGCTGACCGCGCCAGACCACCCCCGTGCAAGCGGAGCTTCGGGCTGAATGGCTGGACACGGCCGTGCCGTGGCGCTGGCAGTGGCTGTGGGTCTATGAAACCATGGAATTTCAAGAGCTAGGGTTTATGATACTTATAACTGTGTTGATGGGGTGAAACTAAACCAACTTTTAGCTTCTCTATAAGAACTATATATATATATATAGCCTCCTGTAATCAAACATGGTAATGGAATATCTCGTATATGGTGGTTTTGAAAGAAACATCAAATATACGCAAGGGATTTTCAAGTGCCATGTTTGATTACCGGAGGGTACCCGGCGAAGCATGGGATTTGCATGGTATTTCCATGGGATTTCTATGGGATATCTGATGATATATGCATGTATGTATATAGATAATATAATGGGATATAATGGGATATAATGGGATATAATGGGATATAATGGGATGTAATGGGATGTAATGGTGATGTACAGTGGGGACATAATGGGGATATAATTGGATGTACAACCAACGCATTATTTCATATTTTGGTTTGAGAATAGGGGACCATAGAATCGAGTGGTGTATTATCATTTTCCCTAAACTGCTATAAGTGGAAGGTTTGGACGGTATACCCCAGATCTATATATTGTTATATTAATTATATATATATATCAAATTCACCCTATCAGTTTCCATGTGGCAATCTAAATGGGTTTAAAACAGTTTGCGTCAAGAATGGAGTGCATGGGTCACGGTCATGGTCACCATCCCTTGCTTTGTCGGATTCTAGAGGTTCAATTTTCCAGAAGTTCCCTATATGAGCAGGTTCCAAACGGGTTTATGCTATCCAATATATTCCCAATATATACATATACATACACATACATACATACATACATACAGACATACAGACATACAGACATACAGACATACAGACATACAGACATACAGACATACAGACATACAGACATACAGACATAAAGACATACAAACATACAGACATACAGACATACAGACATACAGACATACAGACATACAGACATACAGACATACAGACATACAGACATACAGACATACAGACAGACATACAGACATACATACAGACATACATACATACATACATACATACATACATACATATATACATATATACATATATACATATATACATACACATATATATATATTTATACATATATAATTATATATATACATACATACATACATATACATACATACATATACATACATACATATACATACATACATACATATACATACATACATACATATTTTGGATCATAACAATCCACCACTAGAAATCCCTATCCTTGCAACCATTCCTTTTGGATTTTTTTGATACACTTTTGACATTTCTAACATGGTTTTCAGTCACACTCATTTGGCTGGTGATTTCCAAAAAAAATGGCATCCCCACACGGGGTGACTGCGATGATTTCTGGGCTGAAACCATCGAACAGCTGTGAACCATCGAAAGTGAGAAAAGTGTAATGACCATTTTGACCGTGTAATCCATGAACATGGACAAACTGGTATGTACCATCAGGAAATAGGACTGAATCAATCGACAACTTTACGTAATAAAAACACACACTAAAAGTCTTGCTCTGTTCTCCCAAATATACGTGAAAAGGCAATCAAACTGCAAACAAAGTGGCCACTTGGCCACCGTGATGGTTTCTTGCAGTTCCGACAGTATTGTCCAAAAGAGTTGAAATTCTAGGCACATTTCAATGGATCAGACCACAGAACATGAATGTGTTGGATTTTTTTTGGGGCCGATGTTTTTTGGCAACCCTGGAAAGATGCCACTCCAAGGTTGGAGGATGTCTATCCCCAGTCATGAAATTGGGTTTACCTCTATGACTGGGATGATGTATCATTAGTTTCAAGGATGGTTTATGGCTTTGGGTTTACCACATGAGTCACATGAGTTTAAAACCCCATTCGTCTCATAAACATATTTGGCGCGAAACCAATATTCATTATTCATTGCTGCGACTTTTTTTTTGATGAATTAAACTATTAAACCATGTTGAATTTTGAATCCACCCTATTTTGGCCAGGTAGATCCACAGTTTGGCTGGGTAAATCACCATTTTGGCTGGAACTGACGGGGTAAATCTCAGTTTTGATGGTTTTGTTTCTTAATTTTGATGTTTGAATTCAGAATATTGTTGGATGAGTTCTGATGAACCTGTTCTTAAGAACAATCCATAGATCCATAGAATGAAAATGACAGTGCTGCACGATGGTTGTTAAGCCCTCAACTTGAGGGCGGGGCACCTGAGAGGGGGTGGTTGAATCCCTTTACATCGCATTCCATAGCATTATTATATGAATTCGATGTAAAGGGATTGGGTATAATGGTATTATAAAGTGGTATTGTAAAGTGGTATTGTAAAGTGGTATTATAAAGTGGTATTATCAAGTGTATTGTAAAGGGATTCTATTTCTAGAAAGTGGTTGGCTATATTCCATTAAGTGGTAGTCATTGGAACGATGGTTCGCGGTATGGAAAGCTGTCCCAAGATAGCCACTGAATGTTGAGGCAATTTATCCTCATATGTTGGGAATAAGCTCCTACTTGGAGGATCATCCCACAGATCGCAAATGGCTAATAGTAAGTTCACCCATTTACAGATGGGATGACAAAAGTTTAAACCAAAAAAATGGGTACACCAGGTACTAAGCAGTTTCGATTTGTGGAATGATCCTCCAAGTATTGGCTATAGTAAATATCCCAACAATGTGATTTTGAATTATTTCATCCCTATCCAGCCGATTTAAAACATTGCCATTCAATCACCATTACATAAATATTTATAGATATTATAGATCCATATAGATCCATTATAGATCCATAACATATCCTATTTAAGATGATTTACAGAAATGAACCATAAATTAAGATTTCTCCATAAATTTACCATCCAATGTAACATTGATTCATTAAGAATTTCATTTGACATGTATAAAATTGGCCATTATATAAATCACCATTACACATAAATATATATATATATCTATAGATATTATAGATCCATATTTTCAAATACAACATTAATTTCATTTAACATGTCCATGACATATCCCAATGACTTCCCCATATCTGTTGTCCAGGTGCGTGGATTGGAACTGTCGCGTAGCTCCAGCGATGTGAGATGCGTGGCACCGGAAGACGAGGTGCGGATGGCAAAACAAAAGGGATGAGGATCGCAGTGGGTGATAGGGAGAAGTGTTTCTAAGTGGGGTATCAATATGAAATGTGAATATTACATGATGATGATTATTTTTATTTATTATCATTATTATAATATTATTATTTATTATTATTATTACTTATTTATTATTTATTATTTATAAGAAGCAACTGGTTAGGACAACGAATCCATACTGATCCATATTAATGTGGGGCATTGTCCATAGTATGGAATATAATATGATATATATATAAACATATCATTGCTATAATTGCTGGGGGGGTGATTTTTTGCAGACAGGGGTGACGGGGTGACTGTTTCTGAATCGCATTTGCCCATGCGCAAGGGCAACTCATGATTTCTCACTGGGTGCCATATGAAAGAACCAGTTCTATATGGACATATCTCAAGCCATAAATATGGCTTATCTGGTTATTTGTGCGGCTGATAGACCTCACACGATTCCTGGGATGAATGCGCATTCAAGTAGGGGACAACTAATCATCCATTATTCAATGAGAAATGACGAAAAAACACATGGGTAATGAGCCCAGGTTTTCTCACTAGAGGGCAACCCCAAGAATTTGTTTGTTATAATTTGGCAATTCAATTTGGCTGTTTGGAATATCACCCATAAAATCGATGATTGTAGACTAGTAGCAACGCGGAAGTGCAATGGCTCTTGCACTAATCACACCGTTTCATGGACTGCGTACAATCTTTTGCATCTGAACATTGGGACTTCCCATTGCCATGTTAAACCGGAGGGTATTCAGAGTGTTTGAGTCGTCGATCGAGGTCCTATACGGCTGTCTTTTATGGGTCGACGCCACCTCACAGCCAGGTATTTTTTCAAAACGATATGGAAAACCAATGCAAAAACCCAAGGAATATGATCTGTAAATGGTGGGGTTGTCCATATCTCGTTAATTAACAGGATAAATTGGTGGAAAAAGGTCATTCTGGTCCGCAATTGATGGTTCAATGGGTTGGTCCCGCTGCCAAATCCAATGGTGTACCATCATTTTCCTCACGAGCCATGTAGTTTTGGGGGTGAACTCTCTCTTTCAGACGCACCCATATATATATATATCAATCATGAAAACGTCTTGGTTCTATAATGTTATATATATATAATTCCATATATATATATGTATATACCTATATATATATATATATACATATATATATATACATATGTGTGTGTGTGCGCGTATCACCATCAAATCTATAGATATATCTATATAATTATATAATATCACCAAGACAATGATGATATGCACTTCTGTCCCAATGAAGATCCCACTTGAAGCCCATTCATTTCTTCGATTTGTTTTGTCTCATTCGGCCAGATAGACGACCACGGCAAGCGCAGGTGCCACATGAAAAAAGACGGGGTTCAGCCACTCAAAAGATGGGGATCTACATGATTTTACCATGAAAACTAGTGTATTTTCATGGGAATATCATGAGATATAATGAGATATACTGGGGAAAAATGATGATACCCTCCAATAAACTAACAATAGCTGTGGAAAATAGCACCTTGATAGGTGATTTACCCATGAAAAAAGAGGATCTTCCATGGCTATGTTAGTTTACCTGAGGATAAATGATGGTTGATGGTTGATGGGATGCTGATTTAATGGGAATTCAAGCATCAACCTTTTGGGTTGTCACCATCAAACATCTGCGGATATAGTTGATACATAAATGATGGTTGGTTTAGACATATGGGGTTGTACTGGCTGGTTCGTTTGGGTCATCATAACCCATACTAGGAATATTTACAAAGCAACCACGAAACAACCGGTTTGGATAATGTATTTTGATTGCTCACATGAATTGCGGCATGCCAAAAAAACATGGGCATGCCCTGAGGACCTCATACTTGACTTTTTTTTGGCGGAATACCAGGAACCCTGACATGCCGGACTGGGTCAAGTACCTAGCTTGACCAATCTGTCTGGCCCTTTGCAATCTGTTTTCAAGCCATGTGCATGGGGAGCCCAGCAAGTTCAAGATGGACTAATACATTTTCTGAATATGGATCATGATCACTGAATTAGCCGCGGGAGTGGAAGTCAGATGAGAGTGGGATTCCAATAGCGATTCCAAGAAATCAAGCTGGGGAGACCATGAACATTATCCATTCCCATTCATACCCTTTCTATGCTGTTTCCTGGTTCTTGTCGGTCATCGACCGCTTGGGGTGAGAGTGGCACACCTCACCATGTAGATTTTGCGGGGGTTTTTATCAACCGCAGATTTTCACAAGAAAAACCATCCATTGAATCCAGTCAAGCAGGCCTTCGACTTAGGTCGAAAAATCATCCGACTCATGTCGTGAGTAGTGAAATTGGAGGGTATTAGGATTAGTCTTGGTGGTCTTGAGACGGGCTGAATACATCTGAATATTCTTGATTGTAATAATGCTGCTTTGGGATATCTACCCCTAATAAGCACTATTTCTAGTGACATCGTGGTGATGTCCCTACAAGTTACTAAGATGTTGACTGTAAGGCAAAACCAGCCATTGCTTTGTTTTAGATACCCTACTACGATGTGTATATATATGTATATATATATATATCTACTGCATATGCTATGGCTGAGTACGATATTGCCCCATTTATGGCAAGATATGAAATCGCAAAATTACCCCATGCGTGCATAGTAAGTGTATGGATCAATGGTTTTAAATTGGATCCCTAAACAAAACCACACATCAGCAGCTCAATATGCTCGTTCAATGCACCATGGGGGAGGCTTCATCAAGGCTGTCTGACCATGACTGATGTCCTGTTGAGTTGCTTAGATCTATTGATTTTAGGTATCTGTTTGGGGGTATTTAATATTAAAACCCGTCATTACACCAAATTCTACTCAAACTGATTGGTGGTTTGGAGCATGAAATTTATTTTTCCATATATTGGGAATAATCATCCTCACTGACTAATATTTTTCAGAGGGGTTGAAACCACCAACCAACAAATATTAAGCCACTACAATTCGATGAATTATAGCAACCTCACGTCGCGACGTCACTGAAATGATGGTCAGTAAGGAACGACTATTCCAGGTTGGTGATCATCTGGAATTCAGACTATGTCCCCTATTGGGGGTATTAGCGACACTCATTATATTCAATATTGACCACTGTGACTATGTGGGGGTAATATCAATAGTAATCCGCTTGGTGGTTTCATTGTTGGAATTTTCAACCGGAATGAGACAACGATCACAACATTCATATTTCGATGGGTTGAAACCAATAGATGAGATCATTGGCCAATCAGACGGGCATATTATAACATCCTCGGCTCATTTGACATATGGAAATTCACTATTTTTAAATTCGGTATATCATCGAAGTGAATGCGGGACTGATACGATAGCTGCGATAGCTGTGCCGGAAGCTCTGCCGAAGGTATAATATGATATACCCTCTGGTAATCAAACATGGCATGCTGGAAAATCCCTTATTTATGGTTGATTTTCCCAGCTTTCCCAGCTGGAAGCCTCCATTTAGTTCGGGTATTTCCCAGCCAGCCGCGATGACACCGGAGGGTATATTCCATAATCATCCCACTATCATCCCACTATTATCCCATTATTATCCTTGTGTTGGCGCCTTGTGAGCTTATTCTAGAACACTGCAATCTTGAAAAATGCACCATGTACTGCAAAAAAAGCGAATCAAAAATGCGAAGAAAAAATGCACGTACAAAACACAATGCAAAAAAACATGCATATCACAAATGCAAGAAAAATGCAGGTGCAAAAACGCAATTCGCATTTTTTCGCATTTTTCATGCATTTCACCTGGTTTTTGCAACTTTTTTTCCAAAATCATGTTTGTCTAGTTGGTCCCTGGTCTGACTTGCAGTTTTTTTTGCTTTTTCCTAGCTTTTTGCAACTTTTTCCGAAATCATGTTTGTCCAGTTGGTCTCTGGTGTGTTTTTTTTTTTTGCATTTTCTCCATTTCTCATTTTTGTTTCTTTCAGAGTTGCATTTTTCAATTGCATTTTTTTTTGGCACTTGTTCTTTTTGCCTCTCCCAGACTTGCATTTTTCAATCCCATTTTTTTACCATTATTTCTCCATTTTTTCCAAGATGTAGACATCTTAGAACAAACGCAATTCGACGGCACAATACCAAATGGTTCGTAAGTTCCAGTAGAACATGTTCGGGATGATCAACGGGTTGCACGGCAGGGCCCGGCGAGTCCTCTCTATGTCGGGATTTCAATGTGCATAGTTTCACCCCTCCCAGCCCAGGGTTTCATAAACTCTAATACATGGAATGCATATTGATATCCAATGATCATTGGAAATTAAGTTACCGAACATTTGGTACCAAAATTTAAAATTAGCACAAACATGAGCGTCTTTGGGCCTCTGCATTGGGCCCCAGACGCCAGCATGAAACCCTGTGGCGGAGGCCACAGATAGATTAGAAAAAGTGAAGTAGTTCAAATTCATCATATGTGGGTATAGGGGCGAAAGACTAATCGAACCATCTAGTAGCTGGCTCCTTCCGAAGTTTCCCTCAGGATGGCTGGAGTTGAACAGTTTTATCAGGTAAAGCGAATGATTGAGGGAATCGGGGCCGTCATTGAAAAAAACGGTGCTCATCTGGCGGCAATGCGTTGGCTCCAAGCTGCGTAGCGCCCACGGGGCATCACAAAATGTGGAGCTGACCAAAATTTCAAGTTTGTGTGCAACGCTCATTTTGGGCAACAGACAAGCAGCATTCAGCACACGAAGCAGAGCACGACAACACATCAAAGAAAACACATGCATCAGCCATATTTTGGTTCCAACATACATTGAAGTGTTCAATTAGTCCGCGACAGTATTCTGCCAGAATTGGCAAGTTTGTTTTGTCGCTGGAAGTTTGAGGCTGGAATTCCATATTGTCGTGCTCATCCACCCGGTTCTGCTTTTTGCGTGGCAGGCGCAGCACTTGGTGCTCTGCAAG